TAAAGTCAGAAAGGTATTGGGCATATTTAGAAAGTTGGCTGTTAGAAATATTACAATGTAAATCTGCTTTTAGTCTGTCTGTCTGCATATTTCAAGACATGGCATATGAGGGTGCAGTGAGATACCCGATGGATTGGATGATACTTTTCTCGTCAATCATCTTGAAAAACGTATACTTAAAACTGGAAATCAACCAATCCTCCATCATTAACACAATGGAAAGGTCAAATGCTTTATTATCTAAATGTTGAAAGTGCGTGGGCGATGAAGAGAAACAAAATGGTGCAGTTTGAGGCCATGTGGTGGAGAGTGATGCAGGCGCTGGAGATGGGGGGTTTGAGTAGGTGGGTCTAAGCAGGTGTGATGTTGTTGATGTTTGTATGCTGTTGGTTGTATGTGTATGTTTTGTATCGTTAAAAAATAAAAAACAGAAAATGATTTAAGTACTATGACATTTTCCCCAGGAATGATTTGATGAGGATGATTTGTATCAATCATGTGGGCATTTGTTTTGCAAACTGCCATCAGAGTAATTTTCTACACCTTATGGTAAACTGTGACAGCAAAAACAAAAAGAACAACAACTTAGTACAATTGATTTGACATTAATGTATTATTTAAGCCTGCCAGCACCTGAATATCATGTTATTTTGGAGATATTATAGGAATATTTCATAACGTTACATTTAGAGCTATGGTTTGTCTACATAATACGTTGCAATTGGAATGATAAAAATACATTTTGGAACGTTGTCTGTAAGTCAAGTGGTGGTGCACTTGTAACATTGTATTTTTAAGTGTGTAGGAACATTTGTTATGTTGGAAATAAGTACTTTAGAGGTTCTGAATGTCAGGAGACTTTACACGGAACGTAACTGAGACATTTGCAACCTTCCCCTTAAGTCTTCCAGAGGTACTGAATGTCATAGCCCATTTGGGACATTATAGGCACATTCATAATGTTTCTAAGAAGTATTATAGAGGTTATAAATATCTGGTCGCTATACAGACATCACGGGGACTTTAAAAACGTTGCTTGGTAGTCCATGAAAGGTTCTGAATATCATGTTATTTTGGAGATATCCTAGGAAGATTTCATAAGGTTACATTTAGAGCTATGGTTTTTGTCTTAATATAACGTTACAATCGGAATGATATAAATACATTTTGGAACATCGTCTGTAAGTCAAGTGGTGGTACACTTGTAACGTTGTCTTTCTAAGTGTGTAGGAACATTTGTTAAGTTCTAAATAAGTACTTTAGATCCCAATATATTGGGGCCAGCATACTTGTGCTTGGAGTAAAGGAAGTGGATCCAGCTCTTCCCCTCTGCAATTTATTTTTCCATATTTTTCCATAATTCTACCGATTTAATAAATGTATGGCAATTCATAATGTAATTTTGACCTCAGTATAGACCTATGGAAGAGGGAACGATACCTAAAAATTATATATTTTTATTATATTAATTTATGAATGTATAACAATAATAATAATTTTAAAAAAAATCAGTAGTGGTGGCCTGACGACGGTTCATCCTGAATATTCCTTTTGACTCCATTATCCGTCATCGTAAATATAAAAGTGGGTGTGGCAACTAACAATACTGAGGCTGGAGCCAGAAAGAAACACCTACGGTACTAATTGGTGAAAGTGAAACAACACAGCTGAACAGCGAAACAACACAGCGGAACAGCGAAGACGCCATCGACTCCGACTGACCGAACACAGTTCACCTCTTGGAAGTTTTTACGAAAGGTAAGTTATCCAGCGTGTACTATTTAAACCAAGTTAGTTAGTGTACTCCCAGCTCCCCAGATAAAGACATTTTGATGATGTCAGGCTATCTAACTAGCGAGGAAGCTTGCCAGTTAGCTAATTAGCCATTTGGCTAATAGATAGTTTAGCCTAGCTACGTTACTTGGATAGTGCCGTGTGTAACCACAGCCTGTGTTACAGGGTTCAGTAATCGTGTTCTTAGGTCCTGATGAAGAACAACATTGACAAGTGTTCTTGGTCTATTACTAGCATAAGCATGTACAAAAAATGAAATGCAGAATATGGCTTGATACATACATTTTTACTAAAGGGCTGTGTTACGGATACAGGTATCCTGTGTCCTGTGTTTTTCCTCTCCTTCTACCCTAATCACAGGTGTCCTGTATGTTCCTGATTGGTGGTCGTTGAGATGTCTGCTGATTGCTAAGGTGGACCAATCAGTGAACATTCCTCTGCATTGCACCACCTGTTGCTGGTTTTTCAATCACACAGCCCATTGTATAAAAACCAGTCAGTTGTGTTTGTTGTTAGAGAGAGACTATTTCCGTATGTGAGTATGGATACTGTTGTGTCCTGTGTACTCACTAAGTTGCTGGTTACCCTGTTTGGTAATTTTGTTAGACTACTTTTTTGTATGTGAGTAATGGAAACTGTGATGTCCTGTGTTTAGAGTACTCACTAATTTGCTGGTTACTCTGTTTGGTAACTTTGTGTGTTTCTGGGAAAAGGGGAAGTTAAGCAAGCTGCCCTTGGGCATACATTACCCGTAGAAAGAACTGTCTATAAACACTAGTTAGACCTGAGCGGACCACCCACTGTATTTTTGTATGAGTAGCAGTAGCTTAGCGGTTCTTGAGGCAGGCAAGATCAGTTTAGGGGTGTTTTACACTATTGTTTCATTTCTTGGGTCCTGCTCAGCCCTTTTTCCCAAACCTTTACCGTGTGTTCACAAATAAACATTTTATGTTTGACGGTAGTTTATGGTTGTCGTGTAGTTTTTCGTTCTCACTGTTCCATGTCATCATCCTAATTTGCATGAATTATGTTACGGGCCTCATGTCCATCCCCCTAGACGTTTAAAGCCACGGGGTTCGTAACATAATGACTAAATCTGCACAATCCAGATAATGAAAAGTGCAATTTATCCGTTCTATAACACCAACATTATTCAAATGCCTTGCAGTGTCACGATAGCCTGAGAAGCTGTAGTCACCTCTTTCCTCATTTAAGTTCTGATTCTAGATGGATATTATTGATAACGTCTTGGGTAGTAGAGATTAATGTTCTTTCCGTTTCTTTACTTAGTGTTCTGAAGATTGAAAATGTCTTCAAAAAAGGTAAACCTACGTGTTGTCTAACTGGTTATTCATTTTAAATGGACAAGTAAGGCAGTCCAATTTTGTACTGTATGTGTAGCGCCATTGTCATATCATTGTTTAATCATTTTCAGACTGTTAAATCCACTGGTGTAACACGGATGTCAAGTACTTCAAGAAAGAGAGAATACAATAGAATCTGGACTAAATTGTCAAGGGAGAAAACTAACCTTAAGAAAAAAAGGGTAGAGAAGGAAGACAATGACAATGAAAGTGGATCTAGTCTCATCAGCCAGTCTGACACGAAGAGTGAAGATACCAGTTCTACTGAATCTGAGAGCAAAATTGAGACAGATAGTGAAGTTGAGGCAGTGGAAGGTATTCCTCCAAGACTGCCAACACATGCTGACGAAGAGTCAGATGGTGAACTTCAGACAGTAGGTGGTACTCCTCCAAGACTGCCAACACACGCTGAGGAAGAGTCAGATGGTGAGCTTGAGGCAGTAGGTGGTACTCCTCCAAGACTGCCATCACACAGTGACATAGATTCAGTGACTGAAGCCAATGCTGGTTGTGCAATTCAGAAGACAACTGACTCTGACAATGATGACGTTGAAAAAGATTCTACCTTCAGAGAGGACCTGGCAACCTGGATAAGTGATTTCCAATTGAAACACAATGCTGTTGATGCACTTCTGAAGATGCTGCAGTCTAATGGTCACCCAGATTTGCCTTCCACTGCTAGAACTCTCCTAGAAAATACCAATGTTTTTGTTGAAGTCAAGTCTAATGTGGAGTTTGTCAGATTTAAAGTGAAGGTGGAGTTAGTGTCGTGGATAATTACCACTATACTTCTTCCAGAGTTTTTGTAGAATGAAGATAGACTTTTATTACACAAAGTAACGAAAAGCCGAGATGATCTACAGAACATCTGTTTTCCCTGACTCGGAGCTCTCCTTTTATACAGCCACAAATGCATAGTCATGCTTTTACAACCTACACAGTTACTCCATTATATGTACATGATTAACATCCTTCGGTGTCACATGTTGTTTACTCACGAGGGCTACGTGCGCTTCTCTAAATGGGGCCTCTGTCACTTATCTCATTATATTGGTGGCGTGACTCAAAACATTATATACATACGTTAAAGAACAATCACACTCTGTATTGACTATATTCACTATCCAGGCATGCATCTGGAGTACAAAGGATCAATCATGTTCATTCTGTTTTACCCTTATCATTTCATAACACATTATAAAACATATCAATTAATACTTAAACATGGTTTACACATGTCATGGCGTGACTCATTCTCAACCACATACATTTAAACCTTTCCCAACAGCCATCCTCCCAGGACCTTGTGGCTATGGTTTTTCCTTGTGACTATGTGCATGTGACTATGTGTGTCAGGTCATAAACACAAACAAGTGACAACACTAGTTCCATTGTTACTCCTATCTCCACACAGCTCCATCACATGTCATTGACATACCCAGACCAGCTGCAGGGAGTTAGAGGGAACCATCCATTATTAGAAGCACAGCATTTGCACTAAAGAAATGTATCTGCTCTGTTTTAACCCTTTAATTGTTTCTTAATCCATAAGCATTTAAGGCATAAGGCGTTTCATTTTACAACATGCATAATTAATATAGTAGTTTTTTATGTTGTCCGCCCCTAAGTGAGAGTAGTTAAAAAAAATAAAAAATCCCCACATTATTGAAACATCTAAGCATCTATCCTCAATCTGTGGTTGGAGATTTGAATGTTTTAGAAATATCCCTTAATCTGGACGGTCTCCCTTTGTTCAAAAGTACCAATATATCGTTATGGCTTTATGGTCTTTTGTGCTCCATCAATCTATCACCACCCACAGTGTTTCCTCTGTCACTTGCAATGGCATCATCGAAACCAAGCTCCCTGGAATTCCTCAATGACACTTTGCTGGAGCTTAAAGAGTTGATGCAGACCGGCTTGAAGTGGGGAGACACAACACTGCAAGTGAAAGTTTGTTCTGTAACATGTGATGCACCTGCAAAAGCCATGGTAAAATGCATAAAGATGTATTCTGGCTACTATGGCAGTGACATGTGCACACAAAAAGGCAGGTATGATGGGAGGATGACGTACCACAGGTAAGAAACCTGTGTCTCAGAACTGACAAATCCTTTAGGGAATTGGTACAGCCAGAACATCACCATGAAGGGAAAACCTCTCCTTTTTGCATCCTCCCCATTGATATGGTGAAGTCATTCCCAATTGACTATATGCACCTTTGTTGCCTCGGAGTAACCCGGAAGCTCTTGATGATGTTGTTGACTAGGGGAAAGACTAGGGCCAGGTTGTCATTGGTGCAAGTCAAGGAGGTCAGTCAACGACTAAACCGACTAAAGGATTCATTTCCAGACTGCTTTGCTCGCAAACCACGGGGATTGGATGATCTTGACCGTTGGAAGGCCACAGAATTCAGAGAGTTTCTACTCTGTACTGGGAAAGTAGTGCTGAGAAGAATCTTGTCTAAAGAACAGTACACACACTTCATGGCCTTCAGTGTGGCCATTTGCATTTTAGTTTCTCCTCAACTTTCTTCAATCCACAGTGCCTATGCTCATGCTTTACTGAACTTCTTTGTGGAGCAGGGAAGGGTTTTGTATGGAGACACATTTATCGTGTATAATGTTCACTCCCTCCTACACCTCACTGCTGATGCTGAAGAACATGGCTTCCTTGACAACTGTAGTGCTTTCAAGTTTGAGAACTACTTGCAACAACTAAAGAAGATGGTCTGTTCAGGGAGGTAGCCACTTGTGCAAATTTGTAAAATAATAATAATATGCCATTTAGCAGATGCTTTTATCCAAAGCGACTTACAGTCATGTGTGCATAAATGTTTATGTATGGTGGTCCCGGGGATCGAACCCACTACCCTGGCGTTACACGCGCCATGCTCTACCAATTGAGCTACAGAGGACCACAGAATGCAAGAACGCACAGTAAGAGCTTCTCCCCGCCAACAGGTCATCAAAATTAGACGGCCAAACAATGCCTACCTACTTATTGATAGGTCATGCTGTGAGGTAGTGAGCCAAGAAGATGCCTCTGATACTTACCTCTGCAGGGTGTTTCAGCATCTGGAATCTTACACGCGGAGTCCTTGTGACTCAAGACTGTATTGGACTTTCCGCACCACTACGAGGAGCACACAAATGCATCTCATTGCAAAGAGCAGTCTTGTTAAGCAAGCTATTATACTTGAGGAGGACCATGGCACTCGTGTTGTGCTTACCATCTTGCACAGCCTGTAGCAAGCCCCATTTAGCTATAGCCAAGTTCACAAGCTGTATTAGTTTTGCAAACTATCTTGGCTGGTAAATCAAGAGACTGAACAGTGTGGAATTGGTGTTTTGTTTTTCTGCACAGGGCACACAGCGTTATTATGTTGTACATTTTGTAAAAGAGAACACTGTTGAAGTTGTACCAGAGCAATGGGTGGAGAAGAGCGATGGGGTGAGTTGATCAGTTAAATGGTTTACCCATTTCAGGCAAAGAGATGGATAAATAGTTAACTTTAAACAGTGTCTCATATCTTTCAGGTCCTGTGTTGCTACTGGCCAAGAAATGCCAGCGCAACAATGATTAAGAGAGGAGACCGGCCTAACAAAATATTATGGGAGAAGTACAGAATTTCCATAATTTCATCCACTGGTAAAATAATATTTTACTGTATCCATCCACTCCCGTTTATATTGCAATATATGCTTGGTTGTGTGGCTCTGGAGCAGGTTGCATCAGTTGAACATACTCCTACACGTAAGGCTAGTTACAACGTAGAATATGTTCTAAGCCAGGCGTAAACCTGTGTCACCACCTGGTTGTAAGTAATAGCTTTTGCTACGCCAGGGTGTAAAAACTAATTTAATGTGGGGTAGACGTATAGTATAAATCTATAACTAGTTTCCAAGGTAAGTGTTTCATGACTAGTCATGTCGCATCTTGTTCGATTTTCTAAATCATTATGTCGGGCGTAGGTAGGCCCAATTTATCTCTTACGCCTTATTAGCGTCTAACTGGTGCAACCCACTCCTGGTCAGGAGAGTCAGGAACTTCCCCCTCTTAAGTACTATATGTATTTGCTGAAAGTATTACTATGTGAATTACAAATACTCAATACCCTGTTTTGCCAGTGTTAATAGGAAAGTATTTATGACTATGTTTATTGCACGTACAGACAATTACTCTGTGGCAGAGCAACGAGCCAAACGGGGGGTTGACACCTCCAATGTTGAATCTGATGAGGAACCAGCGAAGAGGGCGGTGACTAAACCAATCAGATTCCATGTAGAGCCACCTGGTGAGGATTTCTTAACTGCTCTTATTCCATTGTGTGTATTACATGCATCAGGAAGTAGATGAAATAAATGTCTATGTTTTTGTATTGTGCTTCGTAAGATGATGATGGAAGTGAAGCACTCCAGAAAAAGACAAATGAACCCAGACAAGCCCAGCTTACAGTGCCCCAGCTTCCACCAGCCCCTAGTGGTAAGATCCTGCATTAGGCTACTAGGTCATTAAATGTATAATCAGCAAGTTGATGGTAGGTTTGACACACATTCAAGTATGTGGGTGAAGAAAAGCTTACAGTTAATGCAAGTACTAGTCTTAAATTGAGACGGCATGAAATCATAACCTAATGACAGTTGATATGACAAGAAATTACCACACCCATCTGATCTTGACATACTTGATTATTAGTCACATTACCAAAGTGTAACAGTTATTTTTATTTATTTTATTAGCAACTTCAAGAGCCAGTGTCTTTGAAAAGACCCTACAAGGTACATAATGTTTGAAGTCTGATAAACAAGCCTACTTTCTCAAAGTTCTGTTCCCACCAACTGTATGGGATGAACAGGAAAATCTGTTAAATGTGTACTGTAAATGTGGTAACGGTTTGACATCTGTGATATTCTCTGAAGTTGCAGATGCAGAGGACTTGAGGCCATGTGCCATCTCAAGCCAGAGCGACAGTAAGTGTCTGGTTGTAGTTTGTTAGGGTAAACAATTGAATTTTATGAAGTATTATAGCTTTACAAACATTTACATTTACATCATTTAGCAGACTCTCTTATCCAGAGCGACTTACAAAGCCACTCAATAGAATACAATTACCATCACATTTCTGCATATTAGGTTATTTAAAGTCTTATTACTACTTTGTGCATACTGTTAGAACTTTCCAAATACTTGTGGTGCTGTGTATGGGTGAAACTTGTATTTACAACAGTAGTGAAATCACCCTATTCTTCTGGGGTAAAACACAAGTGTGATGCAATGTTTGTAAATATCTGTATGCATTTGCCATCAAACTAAAAGCATTATTTAAAACAAAATTATGCTTAGCATCTATTTTTGTTGGGATTCATTAACCTTCCCACTGAGCTCCTGCCTGACATCCCTTCACTTTTGGTTCTGTGCCAGTTTCAAAAGCATGCAAAATATGTCTTAATTTTTTTCCTTCTCTTTTCTCAGTTAGTCCAAGTGGCAGCCAGGAAGAAGCTGGCCAAGACAGAGCATCAGAATCAGGTTTCTTTAGCCATCAATATTTTGATCTCGAAATCGTAAATGTAGAAAGTTTAAATAACAGCATGATTTTTTACTTATATTTTAGACCAAGAGCTGCCATCCCTGCTTGATGAGCCTGTGGCTTCTGAGATGCCTGCTGGATACATTAAAGGTATATTATGCTAGCCTATATGTTACAAAATGTTGCTTCTCTTGTATTATCGACATCAATTCCAAATTGTATGGCTGTCAGCAGATATATGGTTATCAATACTACTAATATATATGAAGGGTGGATATTTTGATCGAGGTATTTCACATGGCCTTCATACATGTCCTGCCTGGTACTCATGGCTTGTATCGTCACGCTGCTTGCAGCTAAACTGTTGAGTCTTTATTATTTTGCCGATCTTCAAACAGTGGAGATGAGGATAATGTTGAAACTGTAGATGATCCGTACAAGACTGCTCTGAACCAAGTTATGGAGGCCGTAGAGGCCCGGCAGCCAAAGGAGTCGGAATCCTTGGGGCAACTTGAAATGCTGCAAAACCCAGCAGAAACAAATGAGGAACTAAAGGATATCTGTGAAACACTTAAAGACTCCCACTATCGAAAGAAAATGGTAGGGATGGCCATTTAAAATGTATCTGTTTGTAGAAAATGTGAAATCTACATCAAGTATTTTAACAGCAATTGACAAAAATAAGTTAGCTGTTTATCAAGAGCCACTTGAATGCGTCCAGATTTGAGAGAAGATTGCAACCTGCAATATTATTGAATCCAAATATCTTAATGTCAACGAAATGCAGTTGTCATACAGTGGGGAGAACAAGCATTTGATACACTGCCGATTTTGCAGGTTTTCCTACTTACAAAGCATGTAGAGGTCTGTAATTTTTTATCATAGGTACACTTCGACTGTGAGAGATGGAATCTAAAACAAAAATCCAGAAAATCACATTGTATGATTTTTAAGTAATTAATTTGCATTTTATTGCATGACATAAGTATTTGATACATCAGAAAAGCTGAACTTAATATTTGGTACAGAAACCTTTGTCTGCAATTACAGAGATTATACTTTTCCTGTAGGTCTTGACCAGGTTTGCACACACTGCAGCAGGGATTTTGGCCCACTCCTCCATACAGACATTCTCCAGATCCTTCAGGTTTCGGGGCTGTCGGTGGGCAATACGGACTTTCAGCTCCCTCCAAAGATTTTCTATTGGGTTCAGGTCTGGAGACTGGCTAGGCCACTCCAGGACCTTGAGATGCTTCTTACGGAGCCACTCCTTAGTTGCCCTGGCTGTGTGTTTCGGGTCGTTGTCATGCTGGAAGACCCAGCCACGACCCATCTTCAATGCTCTTACTGAGGGAAGGAGGTTGTTGGCCAAGATTTCGTGATACATGGCCCCATCCATCCTCCCCTCAATATGGTGCAGTCGTCCTGTCCCCTTTGCAGAAAAGCATCCCCAAAGAATGATGTTTCCACCTCCATGCTTCACGGTTGGGATGGTGTTCTTGGGGTTGTACTCATCCTTCTTCTTCCTCCAAACACGGCGAGTGGAATTTAGACCAAAATGCTCTGTTTTTGTCTCATCAGACCACATGACCTTCTCCCATTCCTCCTCTGGATCATCCAGATGGTCATTGGCAAACTTCAGACGGGCCGGACATGCGCTGGTTTGAGCAGGGGGACCTTGGGTGCGCTGCAGGATTTTAATCCATGACGGCGTAGTGTGTTACTAATGGTTTTCTTTGAGACTGTGGTCCCAGCTCTCTTCAGGTCATTGACCAGGTCCTGCTGTGTAGTTCTGGGCTGATCCCTCACCTTCCTCATGATCATTGATGCCCCACGAGGTGAGATCTTGCATGGAGCCCCAGACTGAGGGTGATTGACCGTCATCTTGAACTTCTTCCATTTTCTAATAATTGCGCCAACAGTTGTTGCCTTCTCACCAAGCTGCTTGCCTATTGTCCTGCAGCCCATCCCAGCCTTGTGCAGGGCTACAATTGTATCCCTGATGTCCTTACACAGCTCTCTGGTCTTGGCCATTGTGGAGAGGTTGGAGTCTGTTTGATTGAGTGTGTAGACAGGTGTCTTTTATACAGGTAACGAGTTCAAACAGGTGCAGTTAATACAGGTAATGAGTGGAGAACAGGAGGGCTTCTTAAAGAAAAACTAACAGGTCTGTGAGAGCCGGAATTCTTACTAGTTGGTAGGTGATCAAATACTTATGTCATGCAATAAAATGCAAATTAATTTCTTAAAAATCATATTGTGATTTTCTGGATTTTTGTTTTAGATTCCGTCTCTCACAGTTGAAGTGTACCTATGATAAAAATTACAGACCTCTACATGCTTTGTAAGTAGGAAAACCTGCAAAATCGGCAATGTATCAAATACTTGTTCTCCCCACTGTATATGCCATATGCCTATTTAGTGTTTGGATTGATTTCCCAATTAACACTTAACTTATCTTAAGAAGAAATGATCAGCCTCTGCCTGTTTACACAAGTTTTAGCCCATGATTACATGATACACTACAAAAATGATTTCTCATTACTATCAATCAGAACTGTATGGCCAGCTGTTTTAGCTGAGGAACACACAAATGAGTGGGAATTATTTTTGTATTATTTAATTTTTTATCAGATTCGATACCCAACCCTCTGCTGTGGCCTGGACCTGGGCTCAGGAATCAGACGAATGATGAAAATTGGAGCAGAGGAGCTGTGGACAGGCTACTCCTTGAAGGGCAGGAAGGGGAAGAGGGCCTTCAATGAGCTATCAATCTATGATGCTGTCACAAGTAAGTAAATACACAAGTTTAGATCGTTATTTATTATTATTTAGTAGATAGTATTATTGGTCAAGTGATGGTAAGTCAAATGTGTATTTATTAACATTTCAAATGATTTAAATCAGTAACAAGGCAGTTACAAACTAAATGTGATATCCTACCACCTGTTAAGATCGGAGTGAGAGGACAAAGGAAAGGTGAAGGAGAGAGGTCTCATGGCCAAAACTGCCTATGAGGGACGAGAGGGACAATACCCAACCTCTGTGGAAAAGTAGTGATATGACATGGGATGTACCATTTCAATTCTTTTTCACAACATAGGAGCGTCCCTGAAAGCACACCCCAAGGCTATCTACCAAGAGGTAGATGACAAAATAGCAGACGCTCTCAAACATGCACCAGCTAGGCTCAAGAGTAATAGAAAGGTATGATAAAAAAAAAAAATGTTTACTTCACTTTAATCCAGTCGGTCAGTATAGGTAAATTATTGTGCTAGTACAAAAGAAATGTAGTAGGGAGTCAACGTTGAACCGGCATTTTGATCAATTGTTTACGGAAAATAATGACCAATTTGTGTTATTGTGACTTTCAGGAGCGGGTCGAGGAAGCGCCAGTGGATGAGGATGGAGCAGCAGCACCTGAATAAACATAACATAGTTATTCACTTTTAGCTTTAAGCAGTTTTACAGTTCTTGATTGGAGTGCAGTGTTCATGTTTTTACTGACTTGTTATTTTGTGAGATTGCTGTGATTTTGTTTACGACTCTATTGTGATACAGTTAAAAAAAGAAAAAGAAAAAAAAGACCCTCTTATTTTCTGGAATTTTGCATATTTCGTCAGTGGACACCTACCGTCAGGATACTGTGTATACAGTTGAAGTCGGAAGTTTACATACACCTTAGCCAAATACATTTACTCAGTTTTTCACAATTCCTGACATTTAATCCTAGTAAAAATTAATTTAAGCTTTTATTTCTTTCATCACATTCCTAGTGGGTCAGAAGTTTACATACACTCAATTAGTATTTGGTAGCATTGCCTTTAAATTGTTTAACTTGGGTCAAACTTTTCGGGTAGCCTTCCACAAGCTTCCCACAATAAGTTGGGTGAATTTTGGCCCATTCCTCCTGACAGAGCTTGTGTAACTGAGTCAGGTTTGTAGGCCTCCTTGCTCAAACACACTTTTTCAGTTCTGCCCACACATTTTCTATAGGATTGAGGTCAGGGCTTTGCGATGGCCACTCCAATACCTTGACTTTGTTGTCCTTAAGCCATTTTGCCACAACTTTGGAAGTATGCTTGGGGTCATTGTCCATTTGGAAGACCCATTTGCGACCAAGCTTTAACTTCCTGACTGATGTCTTGAGATGTTGCTTCAATATATCCACATACTTTTCCTTCCTCATGATGCCATCTATTTTGTGAAGTGAACCAGTCCCTCCTGCAGCAAAGCACCCCCACAGCATGATGCTGCCACCCCCGTGCTTCACGGTTGGGATGGTGTTCTTCGGCTTGCAAGCAACCCCCTTTTTCCTCCAAACATAACGATGGTCATTATGGCCAAACAGTTCTATTTTTGTTTCATCAGACCAGAGGACATTTCTCCAAAAAGTACGATCTTTGTTCCAGTCATTTGCAGCAGAGAACTGGAATGAATGGCGCCCAAAGGAGGTGTTGGCTTTGGGGATGACCAGTGAGATATACCTGCTGGAACGCATACTACGGGTGGGTGTTGCTATGGTGACCAATGATCTAAGATAAGGCGGGGATTTGCCTAGAAGTGATTTATAGATGACCTGGAGCCAGTGGGTTTGGCGACGAATATGTAGTGACGGCCAGCCAACGAGAGCGTACAGGTCACAATGGTGGGTAGTATATGGGGTTTTATTGGGTTCTGATGGGATACGGCAAATAAGTTATATTCTTCAAGAATCAATGGATACAGTGCCTTCAGAAAGTATAATATCCCTTTACTTATTCCACATGTAGTTGTCTTACAGCCTGAATTCAACATGGATTAAATATATTTTTTTCTAACCCATCTACATACAATACCTCATAATGACAAAGTGAAAACATGTTTTTAGAAATGTTAGCAAATTTATTGAAAATGAAATACAGAAATAGCTCGTTGTTAAGATCATTTATTAACTAACTATTTCAGTGTCTCTGTGCGTCTCCCAGAAGGTTGTAAGGCTTTTGGATCAAGAAACGGACAGAGATCCCAGTCTGCAATAGCCAGGTCTTTATTCAGAGAATTCTGTTATCACAATTTCAGAGTCCATCTTTTATACACACACACACACACACACACACATGTTCTTATCATAGTCTACTCCCTGCTCGGGCAGGCTGCATTCGTCAGTTATCGCCGTTCTCACAATATCCTGCAACATATTTCATACTCTCTTCCAAGCCTAACGGTTTCTCTTCCTCTTCGCCGTCCGGCCCAACTCCCACTCACATTGCCAAACAGCAACACAATGTAATCTCAACTTGCCCTACGCTCACACATGACCGGGTAGTAGATTCTAACAGACCTCACACAGTTTCGGAGTGTAATAATTAGTCACTACCAAGAAAGTACTAATCATACTTAAAACAAGAACATTTCACAACTCTATTTAATTGTGGAACATTTAGTCATTACTTTTAACCTGTATATATATTTACATTTCTATATCACTCGTTTACATAAGTATTCACATCTCTTTGCTATGACACGCCAAACTGACCTCGAGTGCATCCAATTTCCTTTGATCATCTTTGAGATTTCACTACAAATTGATTGGAGTCCACCTATGGCCAATTCAATTGTTTGCTATTAAAATAAATAGAGTCACACACTCTATATACTGTGGGGAAAAAAAGTATTTAGTCAGCCACCAATTGTGCAAGTTCTCCCACTTAAAAAGATGAGAGAGGCCTGTAATTTTCATCATAGGTACACGTCAACTATGACAGACAAAATGAGGGAAAAGAATCCAGAAAATCACATTGTAGGATTTTTAATGAATTTATTTGCAAATGGTGGTGGAAAATAAGTATTTGGTCACCTACAAACAAGCAAGATTTCTGGCTCTCACAGACCTGTAACTTCTTCTTTAAGAGGCTCCTCTGTCCTCCACTCGTTACCTGTATTAATGGCACCTGTTTGAACTTGTTATCAGTATAAAAGACACCTGTCCACAACCTCAAACAGTCACACTCCAAACTCCACCATGGCCAAGACCAAAGAGCTGTCAAAGGACACCAGAAACAAAATTGTAGACCTGCACCAGGCTGAGAAGACTGAATCTGCAATAGGTAAGCAGCTTGGTTTGAAGAAATCAACTGTGGGAGCAATTATTAGGAAATGGAAGACATACAAGACCACTGATAATCTCCCTCGATCTGGGGCTCCACGCAAGATCTCACCCCGTGGGGTCAAAATGATCACAAGAACGGTGAGCAAAAATCCCAGAACCACACGGGGGGACCTAGTGAATGACCTGCAGAGAGCTGGGACCAAAGTAACAAAGCCTACCATCAGTAACACACTACGCCGCCAGGGACTCAAATCGTGCAGTGCAAGACGTGTCCCCCTGCTTAAGCCAGTACATGTCCAGGCCCGTCTGAAGTTTGCTAGAGTGCATTTGGATGATCCAGAAGAGGATTGGGAGAATGTCATATGGTCAGATGAAACCAAAATATAACTTTTTGGTAAACTCAACTCGTCGTGTTTGGAGGACAAAGAATGCTGAGTTGCATCCAAAGAACACCATACCTACTGTGAAGCATGGGGGTGGAAACATCATGCTTTGGGGCTGTTTTTCTGCAAAGGGACCAGGACGACTGATCCGTGTAAAGGAAAGAATGAATGGGGCCATGTATCGTGAGATTTTGAGTGAAAACCTCCTTCCATCAGCAAGGGCATTGAAGATGAAACGTGGCTGGGTCTTTCAGCATGACAATGATCCCAAACACACCGCCCGGGCAATGAAGGAGTGGCTTCGTAAGAAGCATTTCAAGATCCTGGAGTGGCCTAGCCAGTCTCCAGATCTCAACCCCATAGAAAATCTTTGGAGGGAGTTGAAAGTCTGTGTTGCCCAGCGACAGCCCCAAAACATCACTGCTCTAGAGGAGAGCTGCATGGAGGAATGGGCCAAAATACCAGCAACAGTGTGTGAAAACCTTGTGAAGACTTACAGAAAACGTTTGACCTGTGTCATTGCCAACAAAGGGTATATAACAAAGTATTGAGAAACTTTTGTTATTGACCAAATACTTATTTTCCACCATAATTTGCAAATACATTCATAAAAAATCCTACAATGTGATTTTCTGGATTTCTTTTTCTCATTTTGTCTGTCATAGTTGACGTGTACCTATGATGAAAATTACAGGCCTCTCTCATCTTTTTAAGTGGGAGAACTTGCACAATTGGTGGCTGACTAAATACTTTTTTCCCCCACTGTATAAACTCCCAGTAATTTATTGGGTAAAACAACAACGTTTCGGCATCACTGTGCGTTCTTCAAATCAAATCAAATCAAATCAAATCAAATTGTATTGGTCACATGCGCCGAATACAACAGGTGCAGACATTACAGTGAAATGCTTACTTACAGCCCTTAACCAACAGTGCATTTATTTTAAACAAAAAAAGTAAGAATAAAACAACAACAAAAAAAGTGTTGAGAAAAAAAGAGCAGAAGTAAAATACAGTGACAGTAGGGAGGCTATATATACAGTAAAATAAAGTGACAGTAGGGAGGCTATATATACAGGGGGGTACCGTTGCAGAGTCAATGTGCGGGGGCACCGGCTAGTTGAGGTAGTTGAGGTATAGGGTATATCAGGGTATAGTCATGAATGCTTGAACCAGGTTATGTAGACAAAATGTTTATATCTGTGTCCATGAGTTTTAGTGGATAGACCATATGGTCCAAGAGAATATTGCTTTATTAATGAAAAAGCAGCTAATCATCAATTGCATCATTTTCAAATTACTCTGCAACTCTTCCAGCTATTGACTTTTTTCACAACTGCCACCAGTTTGGTGCCAAAACATTTACAACAAAGACATATTTACATAGTAAAATAAATAAAAGTTTAGGCTTAAGCATCTGCCTCTGATTCCAAAGGTTAGGCATTAACTCCAAAGTCTTAAGGTTAGGCATTAACTCCGGTTAGGCAATAACACACACACACACACACACACACACACACACCTCCCTGTTTGCAGTAAAGATTATCCCATTTGTAGCAGGCGGAGAGCAGGTCTCCTATAAGAGAGCTTCCTGCCTACCTGCAGTCAGTCAGTGTTTACTATGGAGCTGAATGGTTTACAAGAGAAGAGCCAGAGGAATGGGCTGGACAACCAGGCCTTCTACTCTCAGGTAAGGGTACACACATCATTATGGGGTATTGTGTGTACATTGATGAGATTATTTATTTTTTTACTCCATTTTAGAATAAGGCTGTAACGTAACAAAATGTGGAAAAAGTCAAGGGGTCTGAATACTTTCCGAAGGCACTGTATGTGGGTTCTGAATGTGGACAGAAGGTGATGTGCTCTCCCCATCCAAAGTTACTGGAAATCATCACGGGATAAAGATGAAAAACAGTGAAGTTTTGCTTGAACAGATTAAACTCACCATGTGCAAACAATCACGCCTGTGATTGCATGAACAGCACTCATACTGGTGCAATATTTGTTTTTCCTGTTACACACACACACACACACACACACACACACACACACACACATTGTGTGAGTGAACATTCAGACAGACTATACTACCCTATATCCAAGTCTGTATACATTACTTGAATTGCCAACAAGGTACCCACATCTGCCAAGCGCAAGCACTGCAACTCTAGAATAGGCCCATAATGTAATTTACCAGCTACAATAGCCCTACTATTTGCACATCATTAACAATATCCCTTTTGCACCTGACATGCAAAGAAATGTTCTGGGTTGTATAGTCTGTCTGAATGTTCACTCTCACTGTTTGTGTGTGTGTGTCTGACTGTTTGTCTGTCTGTCTGTGTCTCACAGGACACTATCTGCATTGATATGGAAGTTTCTCATCGGCCATCAGAGGATGCAGAATTCACAGAGGAGCTAAAGAAAAAGTCTCTATGGTTTTGTCAATTGTCATTTATTTTCAAGCAATTCCTCAAAAGTCAACACTAAGTGACAGTGGATGTACTGCTTGATATCCCTCCAGGTTCTTGGAAAATAAAATGGAAGGGATCCACCGATATCTAGAGGAGCACAGGTCTAGGATCAGGCTGGTGTTGGGCCTTGTCTTGGCTGCAGGTAAAAAAATAAAATAAAGGCCTCTGACCAGTCTGACATGTTATGAGCTGTTTATAGAGTACAGTTATTAGTGGATACTGCATTTCATGTTCGATGGTTAAATTTCCAGTAATTACATGGGGGTGAATTTCTATCATTTAAATGTGGAGTCTGGATATGTTTCCTGCAACAGTCATCCATCAATAAATGTGACTCAACACATCTATGTATGCTTGTAGTCCAAAATTCAATATACCGTTTTTTACAGTTTATAATAGTTCAAATTCAGAGCTTCAAAATGGTATATCATACACTGCAATTTGAGGATGCTGCTTTGAAAGTTTATAAATGTGTAAACCCACTTAGGAGACAAAGCCCCTTCAAAGAAAGAAAACTTTCACCAATTTGCCAAAAAAGCATTCTCTGAACATTATCTCACCAAGTTTCCCCATTAGAGGAATCATTAACAGTACGAACTTGCCTATTGTTGTATAAGATAGTACTTTATTATTCCCCCAAAGGGGAAATTTGATTGCACCAGCCAATACATACAGTGGGGAAAAAAGGATTTAGTCAGCCACCAATTGTGCAAGTTCTCCCACTTAAAAAGATGAGAGAGGCCTGTAATTTTCATCATAGGTACACGTAAACTATGACAGACAAAATGAGGAAAAAAAATCCAGAAAATCACATTGTAAGATTTTTTATGAATTTATTTGCAAATTATGGTGGAAAATAAGTATTTGGTCAATAACAAAAGTTTCTCAATACTTTGTTATATACCCTTTGTTGGCAATGACACAGGTCAAACGTTTTCTGTAAGTCTTCACAAGGTTTTCACACACTGTTGCTGGTATTTTGGCCCATTCCTCCATGCAGATCTCCTCTAGAGCAGTGATGTTTTGGGGCTGTCGCTGGGCAACACGGACTTTCAACTCCCTCCAAAGATTTTCTATGGGGTTGAGATCTGGAGACTGGCTAGGCCACTCCAGGACCTTGAAATGCTTCTTACGAGCCACTCCTTCGATGCCCGGGCGGTGTGTTTGGGATCATTGTCATGCTGAAAGACCCAGCCACGTTTCATCTTCAATGGCCTTGCTGATGGAAGGAGGTTTTCACTCAAAATCTCACGATACATGGCCCCATTCATTCTTTCCTTTACACGGATCAGTCATCCTGGTCCCTTTGCAGAAAAACAGCCCCAAAGCATGATGTTTCCACCCCCATGCTTCACAGTAGGTATGGTGTTCTTTGGATGCAACTCAGCATTCTTTGTCCTCCAAACACGACGAGTTGAGTTTTTACCAAAAAGTTATATTTTGGTTTCATCTGACCATATGACATTCTCCCAATCCTCTTCTGGATCATCCAAATGCACTCTAGCAAACTTCAGACGGGCCTGGACATGTACTGGCTTAAGCAGGGGGACACGTCTGGCACTGCAGGATTTGAGTCCCTGGCGGCATAGTGTGTTACTGATGGTAGGCTTTGTTACTTTGGTCCCAGCTCTCTGCAGGTCATTCACTAGGTCCCCCCGTGTGGTTCTGGGATTTTTGCTCACCATTCTTGTGATCATTTTGACCCCCCGGGGTGAGATCTTGCGTGGAGCCCCAGATCGAGGGAGATTATCAGTGGTCTTGTATGTCTTCCATTTCCTAATAATTGCTCCCACAGTTGATTTCTTCAAACCAAGCTGCTTACCTATTGCAGATTCAGTCTTCCCAGCCTGGTGCAGGTCTACAATTTTGTTTCTGGTGTCCTTTGACAGCTCTTTGGTCTTGGCCATGGTGGAGTTTGGAGTGTGACTGTTTGAGGTTGTGGACAGGTGTCTTTTATACTGATAACAAGTTCAAACAGGTGCCATTAATACAGGTAACGAGTGGAGGACAGAGGAGCCTCTTAAAGAAGAAGTTACAGGTCTGTGAGAGCCAGAAATCTTTCTTGTTTGTAGGTGACCAAATACTTATTTTCCACCATAATTTCCATATAAATTCATTAAAAATCCTACAATTATTAGGTTGGGTGGTGGACTCAGGTGCAGAGACGGACACACGGACAAAGAGAGTAAAATTAGGATGTAGTTTATTCAACGTGTATTGGCAGAGAGAAGTAGTCAGGGTGGAGAGCCAGTAGTCCTGAGAGCGGGATAACGAGGATATCAGGCAACAGAGGAGCAGGTAGCGGCGTGGGAATGGCAGGCAGGCAAGCAGGCAGGCAGGCAGCAGGAACAGACGAGATCTGGTCGAAGGAGAGACAGGTTACAAAACGTGGCAGGAACAACAATAATACTGAGAGAGTACAACTACACTGAGAGTGCTGTACGGGCCAAGTTACCACTGGAAGTGTAGGAACGAACTGGCGCTGGAGAGGTGTCCAGCCCGGGTAGATATCTGCTGCTTGATTGGTGCCAATGAGCTGCAGCTTGATGTAACTGCTCTGGTGATAGAATGGCCACGCCCGCTGACCTAGAACCTCTGACTGCACAGCAGGGGGAGACAGACACAAACAACACACACAGGGGAGAAAAGGGAAAGGAACACCAACAGGAACAGGACCAACAGAGCCGGACCGTAACAGTACCCCCCCCTCAACGGGCGCCACCCGGCGACCCACCCGGCTTGTCAGGGTGGTCCCTATGGAAGTCATTCACTAGCTGAGGATCCAGGATAAAACGTCTGGGAATCCAGGACCTCTCCTCGGGACCGTCTCTCTCCCAGTCCACCAGGTACTGAAACCCCCTACCACGCCTCCGGACGTCCAGCAGTCTCCGAACCGTGTAGGCTGGATGGTCGTCAATAATGCGCGGTAGCGGAGGAGGATCCGCCGGCGGACACAAAGGACTGGAGGAGACCATCTTCAGCTGGGACACGTGAAATGTAGGATGGACTCTCATGGCCTGGGGAAGCTTCAACCGAACAGCCGAAGGGTTGATGATGGATTCGACCTCAAAAGGACCCAAATATCGGGGCGACAGCTTACGGGAGTCAGTGCGCAGGGGAATGTTGCTGGAGGAGAGCCAGACACGCTGACCAGGCTGGAACTGTGGAGCGACTACCCTGTGCCTGTCCGCCACCCTCTTATTCCTCTCTTCTGTCCGTAGAAGGGCCTCACGGGTGTCCACCCACACCTTGCGGCAGCGACGAAGGTTATCCTGAACTGACGGAACGGCTAACTCCCTTTCCTGAGACGGGAACAATGGCGGTTGGTACCCCAAAGCCGCCTCAAATGGTGAGAGGCCCGTGGCAGATGAGGTGAGGGAATTGTGGGCATATTCGACCCACGGGAGATGTTTGGCCCAGGTGGACGGGTTCTGGGATGTCACACAGCGTAGAGCAGCCTCCAGGTCCTGGTTAGTCCTCTCAGTCTGGCCATTGGACTGGGGATGGAAACCTGATGAGAGACTGACAGAGGCACCCAGAGCCGAACAAAACTCCTTCCATACCCGAGAAATAAACTGTGGACCTCTATCGGACACTATGTCCACAGGTATTCCATGGGGACGGAATACATGTAGGACAAAGAGGTCGGCTGTCTCACTGGCAGATGGTAATTTTGGTAATGCAACAAAATGGGCAGATTTAGAGAATCTGTCCACGATGGTGAGTATAGTGTCATTACCCTCAGACATAGGAAGTCCAGTGACGAAGTCCAAGCCCACGTGAGACCAAGGGCGACTCGGGACAGGGAGAGGCCGCAGCAGGCCCGAAGGAGCCCTGTGGGAAGCCTTATTTTGGGCACAGATGGAACAGGCCGCCACGTACTCCCGGACGTCAGCCTCGGCGGATGGCCACCAAAAGTGCCTCTTGAGTAGCGATAGTGTACGTTTCATACCAGGGTGGCAGGAGAAGCGTGAGGTGTGGATCCAGTTGAGCACTTGCGGCCGCACGGCTGCGGGAACATAGAGAAGGTCGGGAGGCCCATCGGCCGGTCCAGGTTCCAACTCTTGTGCCGATCGGACGAGGGACTCGATTTCCCAATGAACAGCCGCCACCAAACAGGAAGCGGGCAGAACAGATTCAGGATTGCTGGAGTCTTCAGTGTCTGTAAACTGGCGAGAGAGAGAATCAGGCTTGACATTACGTGTGCCAGGACGATATGTTAAGATAAACTTGAACCTGCTGAAGAACAGAGCCCATCTGGCCTGACGGGAGTTCAGCCTCTTGGACGACTGGATGTAAGCCAGGTTCTTGTGGTCCGTCCAGACTATGAAGGGTTGCTCTGCTCCGTCTAGCCAGTGCCTCCATTCCTCCAACGCCAACTTGACAGCAAGCAACTCCCGGTTACCCACGTCGTAGTTCTTCTCAGCAGGGGTCAATCTCTTGGAGAAAAAAGCCACCGGATGGAGCTTCTGGTCCGTGGGGGAACGTTGTGACAGGACAGCCCCCACCCCCGAATCCGAGGCGTCCACTTCCACAACAAACTGCAAACTAGTGTCTGGATGAATAAGAACAGGTGAGGTGGTGAACAGTTTCTTCAATGTACTCACGGCTGACTCGGCCTCAGGCGTCCACAGGAATGGCACCTTAGGGGAGGTGAGCTTGGTCAGGGGGGCAACCACTCGGCTGAAACCCCTGATGAAGCGGCGGTAGAAGTTGGCGAAACCCAGGAAGCGTTGTAGCTGCTTCCGAGACGTGGGTGTGGGCCACTCCACAACCGCTCTGATCTTCTCAGGGTCTGGTGACACTTGTCCCCGCTCGATGATAAAGCCCAAAAAGGGGACGGACTGCCGGTGGAACTCACATTTTTCTGCCTTCACATACAGTTTGTTTTCCATGAGGCGTTGGAGAACCAGACGGACGTGGGAGACGTGTTCATCCTGTGACTTAGAGAATATCAGAATGTCATCCAAATAGACAAACACAAAACGGTGTAGAAAATCCCTCAACACATCGTTCACCATGGCCTGAAACACTGCTGGGGCGTTAGTGAGACCGAATGGCATGACTAGGTATTCAAAGTGTCCGAGAGGGGTATTAAACCCAGTCTTCCATTCGTCTCCCTGCCTGATCCTAACGAGGTGGTAAGCGTTCCGTAGGTCGAGTTTGGTAAACACAGTGGCACCATGAAGGGAGTCAAATGCTGAGTTGATGAGAGGCAGGGGGTATGTATTTCGGACTGTGATGTTATTAAGTCCTCTGTAGTCAATGCAGGGCCGTAAAGTTTTGTCCTTCTTCTCAACAAAAAAGAACCCAGCACCAACAGCGGACGATGAGGGACGAATGATGCCAGAGGGTAGGGAGTCGCCTATGTAGGTTTCCATAGCTTCTCTCTCAGGACGGGACAGATTGAAAAGCCGACTGGACGGCAAAGGCGCTCCAGGCAGTAACTCAATAGCGCAATCGTATGGCCTATGAGGTGGTAATGAAAGTGCCTTGGACTTGCTGAATACCTCGGCCAGGTCCCGGTACTCCTCCGGGACTGAAGAGAGGTCTGGGGTTTTGACAGGGGAAGCAGGGGAGCCGACCGAGGGCGGAATAGCCGACCCAAGGCAAACAGAATGGCAGTGAGTGCTCCAACTGTGTATCTTGTGGTTTTGCCAATCAATATGGGGGTTGTGAAGGCTAAGCCAGGGAAAACCGAGGATAAGGGGGGAGGCCGAGGAGGAGACTACTTTGAACTGGATGGTTTCTTTGTGATTGCCGGACAGCATGAGAGAAACGGGGACAGTTTGGTGGGTGATGTTGGCAAACTGATGGCCGTCAATAGCGGTTACTGTTATAGGCTTAGGCAGGGGCTTAACAGGGATCTCAGCCTGAGTAACCAGGCTAGCGTCAATAAAACTATCCTCAGCACCAGAGTCGATGAGAGCAGTTAGTGGGAGAGATAGATTCCTGAACTGGACTGTAACTGGGATCACTAGACGGGGTGCTGTGGGCATTGAGTCTGGTATAACACTCGCAAGTACGCCCACTTTTACCTGCGAGCTTGGTCTTTTTGGGCGAATCGGACAGTTAACCAGGAAATGAGTGCGGTCCCCACAGTACATGCACTCACCAGCCCGTATGCGCCGTTCCTTTTCGACATGGGACAGACGAGCACGGCCCAGCTGCATGGGCTCGTCTAGTTCCGTGGAGGGATCCGCTGAGGTGTGTGGTCGGTGTCCGAGTGGTGGTGTAGCTCGGACTGCAGAAAGCGAGGGAGCCCCGTTAGAGGTGTGGACCCGACCGCCCCTCTCCTGTCTCCTCTCCCGTAGCCTGTTGTCTATTCGTGTAGCAAGGGAAACGAGAACATGAAGGTTAGCAGGCTCATCACGAACAGCTAGTTCATTCTTAATTGTGTCACTTAGACCGTTAACAAACGCTCCCTGAAGAGCTTCGTCGTTCCACTTGGAATCGGCTGCCAAGGTCCAAAAATCAATGGCGTATTCAGCCACGCTACCCGTGCCCTGTCGTAGCTTCAATAGTCTCTTTGTGGCGGTTCCGGCATAGTCCGGGTGATCAAACACCACTTTCAATTGAGAGGAAAAATCGTCAAACGACAGGCTGGTAATCTGCTGAGTAGAACAAGCCGCTTCTGCCCACATCAAAGCTTTGCCCCTCATTAACCCCAGTGCGTAATGTACCTTTGAGGATTCCGTGGCGAAAGACAGGGGCTTCTGTTGGAACACCAAGCGGCACTGAAGCAGGAACCCACGGCATTTGTTCAAATCCCCGGTGAAAGGTTCGGGTGCAGTTGTAGGGGGTTCCCGAAGGACAGGAGCGGAAGCCGAGCCTGGAGCCACTGTAGGAGGAACAGGCGGAGGAGAAGCAGAGGGAGAAAGGGTAGTGAGTGTTACCAGGTTAGTTACCTGAGAGGTGAGATGAGATACTTGATCCAACAACTGCTGGTTGTTATCCAATAGAGTCCGGATGAGTTGGTCGTGTTGTCCCAATAGTACTCCTTGTGAATGGAGGGCGTGTTGTACGCCATCACCCGTTGTTTCATGTGGCATCTCTGCTGAGTCCATGTTTGGCCAGTTCGTTCTATTAGGTTGGGTGGTGGACTCAGGTGCAGAGACGGACACACGGACAAAGAGAGTAAAATTAGGATGTAGTTTATTCAACGTGTATTGGCAGAGAGAAGTAGTCAGGGTGGAGAGCCAGTAGTCCTGAGAGCGGGATAACGAGGATATCAGGCAACAGAGGAGCAGGTAGCGGCGTGGGAATGGCAGGCAGGCAAGCAGGCAGGCAGGCAGCAGGAACAGACGAGATCTGGTCGAAGGAGAGACAGGTTACAAAACGTGGCAGGAACAACAATAATACTGAGAGAGTACAACTACACTGAGAGTGCTGTACGGGCCAAGTTACCACTGGAAGTGTAGGAACGAACTGGCGCTGGAGAGGTGTCCAGCCCGGGTAGATATCTGCTGCTTGATTGGTGCCAATGAGCTGCAGCTTGATGTAACTGCTCTGGTGATAGAATGGCCACGCCCGCTGACCTAGAACCTCTGACTGCACAGCAGGGGGAGACAGACACAAACAACACACACAGGGGAGAAAAGGGAAAGGAACACCAACAGGAACAGGACCAACAGAGCCGGACCGTAACAACAATGTGATTTTCTGGAGAAAAAAATCTCAATTTGTCTGTCATAGTTGACGTGTACCTATGATGAAAATTACAGGCCTCGCTCATCTTTTTAAGTGGGAGAACTTGCACAATTGGTGGCTGACTAAATACTTTTTTCCCCCACTGTATAACACCAATAAATACACAATAAAAACACAACAAAGGACACACAGACACTAAAAGAAGCACATCGTCAATTAATAATTTTTTTTTAAGGCAGAGGCTGTGGATCCGTAGGCAACTGCCCACCCCGTCGCGACCTCTTGGACCTTTCTTCCCCGGAGCTAAAGATCGGAATCACTTTCACATTTATTTTTACGTACAGTGCCTTCAGAAAGTATTCACACCACTCAACTTTTTCCACACTTTCTTGTGTTACAGCCTAAATTTAAAATGAATTAAAAAACGAAAAGCTGAAATGTCTTGAGTCAATAAGTATTCAACCCCTTTGTTATAGCAAGCCAAAATAGGTTCAAGAGTAAAAATGTGCTTAACAAGTCACATAATAAGTTGCATGGACTCACTCTGTGTGCTCGTGTCCTTAAGAGTCTATTGATGCATCAGTGCGTCTATATAAGTAACATAGTAATCAAATGTAACAAATCCCCATCAAAATCCGTTAGTTTAAGCTAGAAATATCAGTTTTTTGCATTAGCTTCATAGGTATCCGCCTATGTTTGTGGTCCTCTGTAGCTCAGCTGGTAGAGCACGGCGCTTGTAACGCCAAGGTAGTGGGTTCGACCCCGGGACCACCCATACACAAAAAAAAATGTATGCACGCATGACTGTAAGTCGCTTTGGCTAAAAGCGTCTGCTAAATGGCATATTATTATATTATATTATTATATTATTATATGTTGGCCTTCTGCATCTGCAGTGGAAGGTGGCCGAGCTACAGCTGTTTGTCAGACCAAGAGACATCCCGAAAATCGGTCTTCTCAAGAAAACATCTGTAGCGTTCGAACAGTTTGACCACTCTATGGAAAGATGAGACTCTCACGAACACGATGGTGTTCTCCGTTTTAGTCTATGACCCCCCCACAAGACCCATGGGACTCATCTGAAGTTAGCACCGCTGATATGCCAACTTCTGTCTGTAGCGTTCGAACCGTTTGGGCTACAAACTAATATTACCCGACTATGGAAAGGGTGTTCTCTGTTTTGCTCTATGACTCCCACAAGTGTCATGGTCCTTGTCTGAAGGTAACCGGTTTTAAAAAATGATTGGAAGTATGGAGGTCGTTTTGTGCCAACAAAAAAAGGGATTAAATATGTGTCTAAAAAACTATGTGTTTTCAATGTGTTTCTATGGGCTAAAGTAATAAAGGCCAAATTCAATATTCTATTAAAAATATATATATATTAAAACATATTTATACAAACAGGGGTCCTAAAATTCTAAATCAAACAGCTAAATGATCCATGGTATGACCATCTTAAAACAATTCCATAGAGGCTTAGACTTTTAGAGGTTTTTAATATGATTTTTGAATGACTACCTTATCTCCTTACCCCACACATGCAATTAACTGTAAGGTCTCTCAGTCGAGAAGTGAATTTCAAACACAGATTCAACCACTACAAAATGTATTTATTTTTGCCATGTCTGTTTTCCAATGCCTCACAAAGAAGGGCGCCTATTGGTAGATGGGTAAAAGTAAAATAAAAATGATCCCTTAAAGCAGGGGTGCCCAGACTTTAGTTACATAGGATCTACTTTTTCCACCCTCTTCATAACACGGTCTACCTACCACCCCCCTCATTATTTTTCAACAGACTCGATGGTAACGCTGTGAATTGCCAAATATATATATTTTTTGTGCATACATTTTGAAAACTTTTATGCAGTCTACTAGAAAGAAGTTTGCGATCGACAGGTCGACCGCGATCAACGTCCTGGGCACCAATGCCTTAGAGCATCGTGAAGTTATTAATTACACTTTGGATGGTGTATCAATACACCCAGTCACTACAAAGATACAGGCGTCATTCCTAGCTCAGTTGCCGGAGAGGAAGGAAACCGCTCAGGGATTTCACCATGAGGCCAATGGTGACTTTAAAACAGTTCCAGAGTTTAATGGCTCTGATAGGAGAAAACGGAGGATGGATCAACAGCATTATAGTTACTCTACAATACTAACCTAATTGACTGAGAGAAAATAAGGTAGCCTGTACAGAATAAAAAATATTCGAAAACATGCATCCTGTTGCAATAAGGCAATAAAGTGATACTGCAAAAAAATGTAGCAAAGCAATTAAGTTTTATTCCTGAATACAAAGTGTTATGTCCAATACAAATCCAATACAACACATTACTGAGTACCACTCTCCATATTTTCAAGCATAGTGGTGGCTGCATCATGTTATGGGTATGCTTGTAATTGTTAATTGTTAATGACTGGGGAGTTTTTCAAGATAAAAAAGAAATGGAAAGGAGTTAAGTACAAGCTAACCCCTGAGGAGTATATTTTTTTATAATAATGTATACTTTTTTTAGTTTTTGCTCAATCTGATTGGGTGTGCCTGGCTGGGCCTGGCTGCCCAGTGGGTGGGCCTGTGTCCACCTAGGCCTACGCCCCTGTATTACAGTGTATTGCATTGGGAGCTATAGAGGGGGCAAAGCGAAAAGCCAGCAGCAGGCCGTGCGACACAGTCCCCCTAAAAACCAAACCATATTTGGTTAGTAGAGACCCTACTGAATATTTCCCACCCACTTTAGCTGAGACAGGTAGAACAATTCACATTTTAGCAGGACAATAACCTAAAATACAAGGCCAAATCTACACTGGAGTTGCTTACCAAGAAGACAGTGAATGCTCCTGAGTGGCCGAGTTTCAGTTTTGACTTAAATCTACTTGAAAATCTATGGCAAGTCCTCAAAATGGTTGTCTAGCAATTGTCAACAACCAATTTGAGAGGGCTTGAAGAATTCTGAAAAGAATAATGGGCAAATGTTGCACAATCCAGGTGTGGAAAGCTCTTAGAAACTTACCCAGAAAGACTCACAGCTGTAATCGCTGTCAAAGGGGCTTTTACAAAGTATTGACTCAGGGGTGTGAATTCTTATGTAAATTCAATATCTGTATTTCATTTTCAATACATTTGCAAACATTTCTAAAAACATGTTTTCACTTTGTCATTATGGGGAATTGTGTGTAAATGGATAAGAAAAAAATATATTTAATTGATGTTGAATTCAGGCTGTAACACAACAAAATGTGGAATAGGTAAAGGGGTATGAATAGTTTCTGAAACCACCCTCCCCATCCATTCACGTTTCTTAAGTATCTGCTGCTCAACCTCCCCCTTCAAGTTTCTCTCTTTACTCACCCTCTTCTGGAAACTCAACCAATTTGATTGACATGATGAAGTAGCATACTGCATCATATTTCTGAATAGCAGAATTAAATATCCTGCTACATTTAGGATGTAGGCTAAAATCTTCTCTGTCTGTTGTAACTAAGGATATTGGAGTAGCACAAGCAGGGCATAGTCTACACGTTGAATGGGGAAAAACAATCAGCGTTCTAAACACTACATTTGTGATGAGGTCATCTTTATAGTTATGCTGCCATATCGTAGCCTGAGTTGCTGAAAAAGAACACTACTACTTTGACTGCTTTTCACCCCCTGCTTTGCCAATGTTTGCAACGATGGTGAAGAAAGAACATTAAATCGCTGTTTAGACTGCCTGTCTGTGTCTTGCATGTGTTTGAAATGCTGTCTAAATAGCTTGCCTCAATAGCTGTATGTAGCCTACTCCCTCCTGAAAAAAGAACATGAATCGTTACTTAGACTGCCTGTTTGTGTCATTCTTACAGTACCAGTCAAACGTTTGCACACCTACTCATTCAAGGGTTTTTCTTTATTTTTACTATTTTCTACATTGTAGAATAATAGTGAAGACATCAAAACTATGAAATAACACATATTGAATCATGTAGTAACCAAAAAAGTGTTTAACAAATCAAAATTTATTTTATATTTGAGATTCTTCAAAGTAGCAACCCTTTGCCTTGATGACAGCTTTGCACACTCTTGGCATTCTCTCAACCAGCTTCATGAGATAGTCACCTGGAATGCATTTCAATTAACAGGTGTGCCTTGTTAAAAGTTAATTTGTGGAATTTTATTCCTTCTTAAGGCGTTTGAGCCAATCAGTTGTGTTGTGACAAGGTAGGGGTGGTATACAGAAGATAGCCCTATTTGGTAAAAGACCAAGTCCATATTATGGCAAGAACAGCTCAAATAAGCAAAGGGAAACGACAGTCCATCATTACTTTAAGACATGAAGGTCAGTCAATCCGGAACATTTCAAGAACTTTGAAAGTTTGCAATAGCCTACTGTTACAAAAAACAAAGAAGTTCGTTGTTCAACATGTCGATCATGTCTATTGTTCAACATGTCAAAGTTTGTAGACTACACCAGGCAATGACCCCCCCCCCCCCCCCCCCCCCCCCCCCCCCCCCCCCCAGCAGATCACACTGTAGAACAGGACACTAGCCACAACATTATTAAAACACATTTGGAGTATTTGGGGGCAGACATCAAAGGATCTGAGCTTCCTTAAAAATAATAGCCTTTTCTGAGCCTTTTTAAAAACCATGGAGGTATTCTCTCTCCACTGCAACTTGTCATCTATCACCATCCCCAGGTGATCCCATTGATGACCACAGGTGATGTGTTTTCCTTCTTCCTCCTGAAGTCTATCACCAGCTTTTTAGTTTTAGACACATTCAGCACCAGGTGGTTTTAGCTCACCATGACACAAATGAGGATATTTCCTCCCTGCATAGGGAGTCATCATCCTTCCGTGATGCAGCCTACAATTGGTGCATTGCAATGAACAGACAGAACATAACACGCACCTGCAGGTTACCGCTGAATTCCTTAACATGCTACTAACCGGAGCTCCGAGCTAAAATAACTGCTGGTTACAACAAAAAGAACAGCGGAATAAACTAATCAGAACAGCTGATCTGACATTGTTACGGTGTCAAGCCAGCTTGGTAGGCTACTAGACTGTGGAAAAGGTCATTGTCTGCGTTCACTAGGCCTACTCGCGCCCAAATGAGGTAACATCCTATCAGGAACAACGAAATTGAAATAGGACAAATATAAATGAAGGAATAGCACATATTACAACTGAAATAAAAGGATTTGACTGGAAATGTTGCCTGTGTAAATTACGATGATTTAGTTAACACGTTAAATGCCAGCCAAATTATACCTATCGAGGCTACACTTCTGCGAAAATAAAGTTATTGAAGACCAACTTTTAATTAATTACCACTTTGTAAATCAAATGTTAGCTGACATGGGCTAATTGAGTGACTGTCCGTGACTGACATAACAAGGGTGGCAGGTAGCCTAGTGGTTAAGAGCGTTGGGTCAGTACCTGAAAAGTTGCCCGGGTCGAATCCCTGAGCCAACTAGGTCAAAATCTGTTGATGTGCCCTTGAGCAAGGCACTTAACCCTAATTGCGCCTTTAAATTGCTCTGGATAAGAGTGTCTGCTAAAAGGTCAAGGAAAACTCCTGATGCACTACCAAATTTTGAAATGACATGTTGTGTATTCCACTATACTTACAGTATGTTAATACCCCGACTGATAAAAAGTAGTACGCAGTAGGAAATAGGGTGCAATTTCGCCTGTATGTGTTTCAGGTTATGTTGCCGTGGTGATTGCGGCATGCGTGCTGAACTTGCAGCGTGCTCTGGCCCTGTTGGTGCTGACCCTGCTGGCTGTCTTCTTTCTTCTGTGGGACTGGCTGATGGGCCGCTATGGGCAGCGCCTCTGGGACACCCTGCAACCCGCCAGGAACACCCTCAACACACACTGGCTCTGGGTCAAATGGTGGGAGAACTGCATTTTCTCTCCTTCTCACTCTCTCTCTTTTCTGTATAATATCACATTTGTCCTGTATGTGTAGTCCTTTTGGTGATTCTTGTTGTTGTTCCTCTGCTCTCTACCTCTGGTCGGTCTGTCTGTCTGTCTGTGCAGGGTGGTGTTTGTGCTGCTGCTGGTGGCAGTGGTGTGCTGGCTGGTATTTGACACGGCCAAACAGGGAACACGGCAGCTAGTCTCTTTCTCCGGACTCGTCTGCTTCGTAATGCTCATGCTGGTGTTCTCCAGGAATCCATTCAGGGTATGGCAAACCAACAAACACACACCCTAATGCATCGACTCCGTATCGTTCCAAAGACCATTCGCTGTAGTTCTGAGTGATCTTGTGGGTATATGTTTTTGTGTGTGCTTCCCTGCAAGCCTGTGCGTTTGTGTGTGTGTCTACCCGTATGTTTATGTGTGTGTGGTGTAGGTGTCATGGCGAACTTTACTGTGGGGTGTGGCGCTGCAGTTCTTATTTGGACTCATCATCCTCAGAACCAAAGCAGGATTCACTGCTGTAGACTGGCTGGGCCATCAAGTGGAGGTATACTATACATCTACTGTGTACTATCCAGGGAAACTCAAGCAGAGGGCAAAATGGACATCAATTGGATCATTGATATTACAAATATTAGCCAGCACAAAGGCCCTTGTTTTTCTTTGGACCACATTGCTAATGTCACTCTCATCAGCATAATCACATTTCCCTGTCCCCTGTTCCAGCATCCTCAGCAGATATACAGTAGAGTATACCTGTTAGGAAAGAGTGACCTCATTATTTCAGTCTGTGTCGAAACATCTCTCCTCTCTCACCCAGGTGTTTCTGTCCTACACTGACACCGGCTCTAGGTTTGTGTTTGGCGACAAATACACAGACCACTTCTTTGCATTCAAGGTATAGGATCATATGAGTATGTCTGTATACGTGAGAGACTTTGAGAAAATTACATGAAGTGAAAAGAAAAGACAGAAACCCAACACTGTCATCTTCTTTCTCTGCATTCAGGTTCTGCCTATTGTAGTGTTCTTCAGTACTGTCATCTCTATGCTCTACTACCTTGGCTTCATGCAGTGGCTCATCCTCAAGGTACTCATCACATACGTTCAAATCTTATTCAATCATCATACAAGTGACTAAATTAGACAATGATAATTCAGCCGCCACACAGTACTGTATCAAGGTTGTCATTTACCGGGGGATGGGGGGGGGGTAAATGTGACCAGTATTATTGTTTTATATGTTGTATACTTGGGTATCATTTTGGCACAGAAACGTTGGCATCATTGTTTACGTTTGTCTGTGCATACATCCAGGTGGGCTTCATAATGCAGATTACCATGGGAACTTCTCCCACAGAGTCAATGGTCGCCGCTGGCAACATATTTGTGGGACAGGTGAGAATAGTATGAGTGACAGATGTGCTAGGCAGCAAAAGAGAATTACATGACAACCAGGCAAAGGAGTATCACCCTCTCTCTCTCTCGCTCTCAGACAGAATCTCCACTCCTGATTCGTCCGTACATCTCCCAGCTGACCTTGTCAGAGATCCATGCCGTGATGGCAGGAGGGTTCGCCACCATTGCTGGCAGCGTACTGGGAGCCTTCATCTCTTTTGGGGTGAGGAGGAGGAGGAGGATGAGAGGAAGAGGGGCGGGAGTAGGGGAGGAGAGGGAAGAAGAGGAAGAGGAGGGAGTAGGGGAGGCAGGAGGAGAGGGAAGAGGAGGAGCAGTAGGGGAGGCCAGGAGCGAGAGGAAGGGAGGGAAGAGTAGGGCGAGGGGGGAGGCAGGAGCGGGAAGAGGAGGAAGAGGGGGGGGAGTAGGGGAGGCAGGGGAAGGGAAGAGGAGGAAGAGGAGGGAGTAGGGGGGCAGGAGGAAAGGGAAGAGGAGGAAGAGGAGGGAGTAGGGGAGGCAGGAGGAGAGGGAAGAGGAGAGAGAAGAGGAGGGAGTAGGGGAGGCAGGAGGAGAGGGAAGAGGAGATAGAGGAGGGAGTAGGAGAGGCAGGAGGATAGGGAAGAGGAGGAAGAGGAGGGAGTAGGGGAGGCAGGAGGAGAGGGAAGAGGAGAGAGAAGAGGAGGAAAGTCAATAAACAATGTTCAAACCTTTGTTTTCTACCAAAGACACACCTGAAATCTCACCCAATTGACCTTGTGCCTTGTGTCTCTCTTAAATGTAACTAAATGTAATCCCCAAAAGTAATTATTTCTCATGAGAGGGCCATAAACAATAACTAGTAACGCTGCATACTCCAAGAAAGGTTACAATCTCACCTTTCTGGTGTAGTCACTTTTGAGGACACAAGCTCAAGTACACAGTACAAATATGATAAAAATATGAAAATATGAAATATTTTATGATGTATTTCCTATTCAACAAAAATGTATGAATAAGGCTTGAAATTACTTATATTAATATCCATTTATAAAACGACTAACTAAGATTTCACCTTCCTTATAACTGTAAAATACATAATATGTATATCTGCCCCCATCGCTGTGAATGTCTCACAGAGCTCAAGCGTGGCTTCCTGAACTCGTTAGGAATTCGCCTTGCATCTCATATTAATCTTGCCTGTCTATGACAAACAGAAAGTGTTTTTTGTTTAGAATCTATGAACTATTTTAGATCACTGGCTACAAATCGATCTCTAAATGTGCTACAGCTACGAAACCACTTTCTCATGCTGCGTTACGATGTAAGGATTCCAGGCATATGCGTTGTTTGTGGCTGTGATGTAGGGTTCAGCCAGGAGTTAATGGAAAGTCAGAAGATAGAATGAAATGGTAGGAGGGACATCCCAGCTTCAAGTACAGGCAGAAGAGACATATTCCTGTGTCTGTGAGAATCCGGGCTACCGCTCAATGCAAGCCATTTCGATCTACGGTGTCCACAGATCGATTTATACGTGTAAATGTCGGAACTGAAAAGAACCTCTGGCAGAGAGGTTTGGAACTCTATTTTTTATTGGTCTATTACCTAATTTACCGCCTGGTGGGCCCACCAGGCAGGCCAAAACTCCAACCCATCAAAACAGGCTGAAATTTCAGGCGGTCTTCTCAAACAGCTCTTACACTTAAATTATCATAATTTTTACAATTTCACAATATTATTCCAATCTCATAGTATGGAAATATATATAAAACACAGGAAAATCACATTTCTGACTGCACTGGGCCTTTAAAATATGTTAATGTTGAGCTGTTTCCTCCTGCCTATATCCCCCTCTTCTCTCTGACCCAACCCTTCACCTCTTCCCTACCCCTCACTTTTGACACATACCCCCCCCGCCCCCCCCCCCCCCCCCCCAACACACACATATACAGATTGAAGCATCCCACTTGCTGACAGCCTCCGTAATGTCAGCCCCGGCCTCCCTGGCCATCGCCAAGACGTTCTGGCCAGAGACAGAGATCCCCAAAGTCACAGCCAAGAAAGGCCTCAAACTGGAGACAGAGTGAGACACAGGCACACCTACACACGTGCACGTACGCACATAAGCACCAATGTCTGCCTAATGAGCATGAGAGTCTTTTCTGGTTTTGTCTAGGGAGGGCAGTAACCTGCTGGAGGCAGCGTCTCACGGAGCGTCCTCCTCTATTGTCCTGGTGGCCAACATCGCTGTCAACCTCATCGCCTTCCTGGCCCTGCTCGCTTTCCTCAACGCCGCTCTGTCATGGCTGGGCAACATGTTCGACTACCCCCAGCTCAGCTTCTCTGTGAGGACACACAAGTGTGCATGTGCATAGAAGCACACACACACACACACACACACACACACACACACACACACACAGACACACAGAGACACACTAAATACAGGCTGGATAGAAATCAATGCTTCTCTAAGACACAGACTCTCTGTCCCTCTCTCTTTCTCTCTCTCTCTCTGATGACAGATCATCTGCTCGTACGTATTCATGCCCTTCTCCTTCCTGATGGGTGTGGCCTGGGAGGACAGCTTCGTGGTGGGTGAGCTGATTGGCTACAAGACCTTCTTCAATGAGTTTGTGGCCTATCAGAGGTTGGCAGAACTCATCAAGAGGAGAGAGGACAGAGGCCCAGAGTACGTGGACGACGTCAAGCAGTATCTGTCTGTGAGTGGTGTCAGGGGTCCTGTCACTAAGTGGTAATATGGGCACTGAATTGATATTTGGGTATCTGTTTTTTCCTGGACAGACAGGCGGACGGACGGACAGACACACACACACAAACAGATTACTTTCTTTATTCAACTTTTCAAATTTGATTTGTCTACATCAAACTCTCCATAAATGGTGGAAATATATTTGGACCATTAAATCACCTCTTAAGGATCGGACCCTTTTTTTAAATTTTCGCCTAAAATGACATAACCAAATCTAACTACCTGTAGCTCAGGACCTGAAGCAAGGATATGCATATTCTTGATACCATTTGAAAGGAAACACTTTGATGTTTGTGGAAATGTGAAATGAATGCAGGAAAATATAACACATTATATCTGGTAAAAGACAATACAAACAAAAAGACATGCGTTTTCTATTGTTCCATCATCTTTGAAATGCAAGGCCACAATATAATATTGCAGTTTAGGCGCAATTTAGATTTCGGCCACTAGATGGCAGCACTGTGTGTGCAAAGTTTCAGATTGATCCAGTGAAGCATTGCAATACTGGACTCTTTTGTATGAAGTCTGCCCAAATGTGCCGAATTGGTCAATTGATCCATTTTCAAGTACATAACTATAGAGAGCATACAAAAATGATATGGTAATACAAAATGTAAGTTTAATCACTCCCAGGAATGTCATACATGATGGATCATTAGCTTATACGAGTGGCGCAGTGGTCTAAGGCACTGCATCGCAGTGCTAGCTGTGCCACTAGATTCCTGGTTCGAGTCCAGGCTCTGTCGCAGCCGGCCGCAACCGGGAGACCCATGGGCGGCGCACAATTGGTCCAAGGTAGGGGAGGGTTTGGCCGGCAGGGATGTGGGTTCGTTTCCCACGGGGGGCCAGTATGAAATATAAAAATAAAAATAAAAAAATATACGTATGCATTCACTAACTGTAAGTTAGTGAGTCTGCTAAGAGCGTCTGCTAAAATGTAAAATGTCAATGTATACACTAACCTTCACACATCTAGATGGCCGGGCGGGGTGGGTGTGGAGCCAGAGACAGCAGGGGTTCAAACTGTAGAACCCAGTTCCAACATTTGAATACAGAAATTGATTTTATCAAACAAAACTATGCTACATTTTATCTCTGGGACCCTGAGGATGACAAATCAGAGCAAGATTACTGAATGTAAGTACATTATTTACAGTTGAAGTCAGAAGTTTACATACACCTTAGTCAAATACATTTAAACTCAGATTTTCACAATTCCTGACATTTAATCCTAGTAAATATTCCCTGTCTTAGGTCAGTTAGGATCACCACTTTATTTTAAGAATGTGAAATGTCAGAATAATAGCAGAGAGAATGATTTATTTCAGCTTTTATTTATTTAATCTCATTCCCAGTGGGTCAGAAATTTACATACACTCAATTAGTATTTGGTAGCATTGCCTTTAAATTGTTTAAATTGGGTCAAACGTTTCGGGTAGCCTTCCACAAGCTTCCCACAATAAGTTGGGTGAATTTTGGCCCATTCCTCCTGACAGAGCTGGTGTAACTGAGTCAGGTTTGTAGTCCTCCTTGCTCGCACACTCTTTTCAGTTCTGCCCAGGGCTTTGTGATGGCCACTCCAATACCTTGACTTTGTTGTCCTTAAGCCATTTTGCCACAACTTTGTAAGTATGCTTGGGGTCATTGTCCATTTGGAAGACCCATTTGCGACCAAGCTTTAACTTCCTGACTGATGTCTTGAGATGTTGCTTCAATATATCCACATAATTTTCCTTCCTCATGATGCCATATATTTTGTGAAGTGCACCAGTCCCTCCTGCAGCAAAGCACCCCCACAACATGATGCTGCCACCCCCGGGCTTCACGGTTGGGATGGTGTTCTTCCGCTTGCAAGCCACCTCCTTTTTCCTTCAAACATAACGATGGTCATGACCCAAACAGTTCTATTTTTGTTTCATCAGACCAGAGGACATTTCTCCAAAAAGTACGATCTTTGTCCCCATGTGCAGTTGCAAACCGTAGTCTGGCTTTTTTATGGCGGTTTTGGAGCAGTGGCTTCTTCCTTGCTGAGCGGCCTTTCAGGTTATGTCAATATAGGACTCGTTTTACTGTGGATATAGATACGTTTGTACCTGTTTCCTCCAGCATCTTCACAAGGTCCTTTGCTGTTGTTCTGGGATTGATTTGCACTTTTCACACCAAAGTACATTCATCTCTAGGAGACAGAACGCATCTCCTTCCTGAGCGGTATGACGGCTGCGTGGTCCCATGGTGTTTATACTTGCGTACAATTGTTTGTACAGATGAACGTGGTACCTTCAGGTGTTTGGAAATTGCTCCCAAGGATGAACCAGACTTGTGGAGGACTACAATTTTTTGGCTGATTTCTTTTGATTTTCCCATGATGTCAAGCAAAGAGGCATTGAGTTTGAAGGTAGGCCTTGAAATACATCCACAGGTACACCTCCAATTGACTCAAATGATGTCAATTAGCCTATCAGAAGCTTCTAAAGTCATGACATCATTTTCTGGAATTTTCCAAGCTGTTTAAAGGCACAGTCAACTTAGTGTATGTAAACTTCTGACCCACTGGAATTGTGATACAGTGAATTATAAGTGAAATAATCTGTCTGTAAACAATTGTTGGAAAAATTACTTGTGTCATGCTCAAAGTAGATGTCCTAACCGAATTGCCAAAACTATAGTTTGTTAACAAGAAATTTGTGGAGTGGTTGAAGAACGAATTTAAATGACTCCAACCTAAGTATATGTAAACTTACAACTTCAACTGTACCTTCAGAGGTGAATGTATCAAACCAGTTGCCGTGCTAAGTTTTTGTTGTTGTTGTGCACTCTCCTCAAACAATAGCATGGTATTTTTTCACAGTAATAGCTACTGTAAATTGGACAGTGCAGTTAGATTAACAATAATTTAAGCTTTCTGCCTATATAAGACATGTCTATGTCCTGGAAAGTTTGCTGTTACTTACAACAGTCATGCTAATCACATTAGCGCACGTTAGCTCAACCGTCCCGTATACGGGACACCGATCCCGTAGAGGTTAAATCATACCTTCTCTAAATCAGTTCTGATATTATCAGGCCAGAGCTGATATTACGAGTGCTCTCTGTATCAAGGATTTATCGTTGCATTTGCTTGTTTTTGGTGAAGAAACATTGCTTCAGTAACAGATCATTTAGTGTATATCATTTATGGTAATTTAACTGTTGCAAATGTAATGTTAATGGCTTGTTGCATATCGCATGGATGTTGATTGGCTGTTGCATATTTATTATACATCTAAAGATTTAGACCCAGGCTGTTTTCTGTCCCCCAGGTCCACTCTGAAACCATAGCGACGTATGCTCTGTGTGGCTTCGCTAACATCAGCTCTCTGGGTGTGATGATAGGAGGCCTCTGTGAGTCAAGCCCTCTAACATCTGTCCTATCCTGAATCTCAAATCAACCGCTAGCCCCTCCCCCCTAGGCACTCTACAGTGAGGGAAAAAAGTATTTGATCCCTTGCTGATTTTGTATGTTTGCCCACTGACAAAGACATGATCAGTCTATAATTTTAATGGTAGATTTATATGAACAGTGAGAGACAGAATAACAACAAAAAAATCCAGAAAAACGCATGTCAAAAATGTTATAAATTGATTTTCATTTTAATGAGGGAAATAAGTATTTGACCCCTCTGCAAAACATGATTTAGTACTTGGTGGCAAAACCCTTGTTGGCAATCACAGAGGTCAGATGTTTCTTGTAGTTGGCCACCAGGTTTGCACACATCTCAGGAGGGATTTTGTTCCACTCCTCTTTGCAGATCTTCTCCAAGTCATTAAGGTTTCGAGGCTGACATTTGGCAACTTGAACCTTCAGCTCCCTCCACAGATTTTCTATGGGATTAAGGTCTGGAGACTGGCTAGGCCAATCCAGGACCTTAATGTGCTTCTTGTTGAGCCACTCCTTTGTTGCCTTGGCCGTGTGTTTTGGGTCATTGTCATGCTGGAATACCCATCCACGACCCATTTTCAATGCCTTGGCTGAGGGAAGGAGGTTCTCACCCAAGATTTAACGGTACATGGCCCTGTCCATCGTCCCTTTGATGTGGTGAAGTTGTCCTGTCCCCTTAGCAGAAAAACACCCCCAAAGCATAATGTTTCTACCTCCATGTTTGACGGTGGGGGTGGTGTTCTTGGGGTCATAGTCAGCATTCCTCCTCCTCCAAACACGGCGAGTTGAGTTGATTCCAAAGAGCTCGATTTTCCTCTGAATCATCCAGTTCTCCTCTGAATCATTCAGATGTTCATTGGCAAACTTCAGACGGGCCTGTATACAGTGGGGGAAAAAAGTATTTAGTCAGCCACCAATTGTGCAAGTTCTCCCACTTAAAAAGATGAGAGAGGCCTGTAATTTTCATCATAGGTACACGTCTACTATGACAGACAAAATGAGGAAAAAAAATCCAGAAAATCACATTGTAGGATTTTTAATGAAATTATTTGCAAATTATGGTGGAAAATAAGTATTTGGTCAATAACAAAAGTTTCTCAATACTTTGTTATATACCCTTTGTTGGCAATGACACAGGTCAAACGTTTTCTGTAAGTCTTCACAAGGTTTTCACACACTGTTGCTGGTATTTTGGCCCATTCCTCCATTCAGATCTCCTCTAGAGCAGTGATGTTTTGGGGCTGTCGCTGGGCAACACGGACTTTCAACTCCCTCCAAAGATTTTCTATGGGGTTGAGATCTGGAGACTGGCTAGGCCACTCCAGGACCTTGAAATGCTTCTTACGAAGCCACTCCTTCGTTGCCCGGGCGGTGTGTTTGGGATCATTGTCATGCTGAAAGACCCAGCCACGTTTCATCTTCAATGCCCTTGCTGATGGAAGGAGGTTTTCACTCAAAATCTCACGATACATGGCCCCATTCATTCTTTCCATTACACGGATCAGTCGTCCTGGTCCCTTTGCAGAAAAACAGCCCCAAAGCATGATGTTTCCACCCCCATGCTTCACAGTAGGTATGGTGTTCTTTGGATGCAACTCAGCATTCTTTGTCCTCCAAACACGACGAGTTGAGTTTTTACCAAAAAGTTATATTTTGGTTTCATCTGACCATATGACATTCTCCCAATCCTCTTCTGGATCATCCAAATGCACTCTGGCAATCTTCAGACGGGCCTGGACATGTACTGACTTAAGCAGGGGGACACGTCTGGCACTGCAGGATTTGAGTCCCTGGCGGCGTAGTGTGTTACTGATGGTAGGCTTTGTTACTTTGGTCCCAGCTCTCTGCAGGTCATTCACTAGGTCCCCCCGTGTGGTTCTGGGATTTTTGCTCACCGTTCTTGTGATCATTTTGACCCCACGGGGTGAGATCTTGCGTGGAGCCCCAGATCGAGGGAGATTATCAGTGGTCTTGTATGTCTTCCATTTCCTAATAATTGCTCCCACAGTTGATTTCTTCAAACCAAGCTGCTTACCTATTGCAGATTCAGTCTTCCCAGCCTGGTGCAGGTCTACAATTTTGTTTCTGGTGTCCTTTGACAGCTCTTTGGTCTTGGCCATAGTGGAGTTTGGAGTGTGACTGTTTGAGGTTGTGGACAGGTGTCTTTTATACTAATAACAAGTTCAAACAGGTGCCATTAATACAGGTAAGGAGTGGAGGACAGAGGAGCCTCTTAAAGAAGAAGTTACAGGTCTGTGAGAGCCAGAAATCTTGCTTGTTTGTAGGTGACCAAATACTTATTTTCCACCATAATTTGCAAATAAATTCATTAAAAATCCTACAATGTGATTTTCAGGATTTTTTTTCTCAATTTGTCTGTCATAGTTGCCGTGTACCTATGATGAAAATTACAGGCCTCTCTCATCTTTTTAAGTGGGAGAACTTGCACAATTGGTGGCTGACTAAATACTTTTTTCCCCACTGTATGTGCTTTCTTGAGCAGGGGACCTTGCGGGCGCTGCAGGATTTCAGTCCTTAAAGGCGTAGTGTGTTACCAATTGTTTTCTTGATGACTATGGTCCCAGCTGCCTTGAGATCATTGATAAGATCCTCCCGTGTAGTTCTGGGCTGATTCCTCACCGTTCTCATGATCATTGCAACTCCACGAGGTGAGATCTTGCATGGAGCCCCAGGCCGAGGGAGATTGACAGTTCTTTTGTGTTTCTTCCATTTGCGAATAATCACACCAACTGTTATCACCTTCTCACCAAGCTGCTTGGCGATGGTCTTGAAGCCCATTCCAGCCTTGTGTAGGTCTACAATCTTGTCCCTGACATCCTTGGAGAGCTTTGGTGTTGGCCATGGTGGAGAGTTTGGAATCTGATTGATTGATTGTTTCTGTGGACAGGTGTCTTTTATACAGGTAACAAACTGAGATTAGGAGCACTCCCTTTAAGAGTGTGCTCCTAATCTCAGCTCGTTACCTGTACACCTGGGAGCCAGAAATCTTTCTGATTGAGAGGGGGTCAAATTCTTATTTCCCTCATTAAAATGCAAATCAATTTATAACATTTTTGACATGCGTTCTTCTGGATTATTTGTTGTTATTCTGTCTCTCACTGTTCAAATAAACCTACCATTAAAATTATAGACTGATAATTTATTTGTCAGTGGGCAAACGTACAAAATCAGCAGGGGATCAAATACTTTTTTCCCTCACTGTAAATGAAGTGTGTTTTTTCCTATTGATATTATAGTATTGTTGAGACATCACTTTGATTTTGCAAGAATATGTTTCATTTGTGAGGTTCTTAAAATGTCGCTATTATGTTATTGTATGTTAAACCATTGCAATGTTGTTCTGCTGTAACACTGTGTCTCTGTATATTGGTGTGTTGTGGCTGTACTGTGGCGGTATGGTTGATGTAGTGTTCTTCAAATGTTTTTGTAACGTTATCCTGCTAAAGCGGCTATGGCCCCAGAGCGGAGGGGCGATATTTCCAGGTGTGCCATCAGAGCTCTTATCTCAGGCACAGTGGCATGCTTCATGACAGCATGCATCGCAGGTAACCTCCAAAATAGTGTGCGTTATATATCTTGTCATCATCATGCATTATCCTCTTTGGTGACATTATGGTTTTATGTGTGTGTATTTGTGTGTCTTCCCAGGTATGCTGTATATCCCAGAGCTGCTGTGTGAAGACTTCCTGAAGGAAGAGTTTAACTCCACATTAGTCACTAACAGCACTCAGCTCCTCACCTGCTGCACTGAGCTCTACCACAGGTACCACCAGTGTGCGTGTTTGTGGGAGGGGGTAGGGTGACCACGTTCCGGATTGTGCGGTACAGTCCCGCATTCTGGCCCTTTGTCCCGCGTCCCACTACCAAACAATTATGTCCTGCATTTTATCAAATTAAAACAAGACTAATTTACTTTTTTTTTTTTTTTTTTTTTTTCAGTCAGACTGTCTTTTTTGCAGTTACGTTGCGCTTATGACAACATACGGATGTGGTACTGGTGATGTTAAACACTTCTCCAATTGTTGTTAAGATCTGATATTCTGCGCAGCGCAAGATGAGACGTAGGCCAATGTCATATCGTCAACCAATCACATTTGTCAAATCCTTTCGGGCTAAATTCCAGCTGAACTTGGAAAGGACAGTTAACTACTTACAAAAAGCGTGCTTCTAACGAAGAGCTACAAAATTAAGTAAATGGCCCATATTACACTGAAAGATAGGCTATAAGGTAATTTCTTCAAATTTGTGAATCTCTCCATGCTCATTAGTTGCTCATTCAACATAGGCCTATTTGCTGCCACTTCACTCAATTCCGTTTTAGAAGTCTGCCTTAATAATATCCCCCTAGAGTCGATGTCCGCGGCCCACTGAAATATAATTAGCATTATACAAAAATCCCCATCCAAATCCGTCAGTTTAAGGTAGTTATTTATTTTTTTGCATGGGCTGCGTCTCAATCCACCGCATCCGCCGATGTCGCCGTTCCGCATCTGCCGTGTAAGGTGGCAGAGCTAGAGCTGAGTTTGAAAATTGGTCTTCTTACGAAAACGTCTGTAGCGTCCGATCGGTTTGGCCCATCAGTTGCTGGCTATGCTACACTGTCCCGCAAATGTCTCACAAAATCGTCCTGTTGTCCTGCATTTGGGCCAAAGCGGTCGGCCACACCACAAAAACTCTCCTGGTTGGCCAACACGTGATCCTCCAGGCGTTCTCCTCTGTAGGGAACCAGAGGGTTGAGTTACTCACACAATATCTGAAAAACTAAGAAAAATGTGTGTTTTGCCCTTCACCACTGTAAGACAGAGGAAATTAGCAACGATACAACTGTGTATTGTTCATTATAGGCTTACTGTTCACAATGTAGACTACATTGTACTTTTACATCATACTTTCACATTTTTACATTTTGATTATTTTCCCTTTGTGGTAACTGTTGCTAGATAAGGGGCCTTATAAATAATATACGTATAATGTACACAAATAACAATTTGATTGATTATAAAGGACTATTATGTAAATTAGGTACAGTAACACATTTGGTTGACTGTATACCCCACCCAGCTGTCTGGTTGGTCAACTAACTAGGCTGCTGCGTGCATTCCTGCTTCTTTATAGATAGCTACAGGGGCGCAACTTTGGTTTTAGAAGTGGGGGGGACATAACTTGGTGGGGGGTCTGGGGGTCCTCCTATTTTTGGGGGTATCTAAAGCTCATTTCCTGCATTTCTACACAATCTAATATGACCCATGGCCCTTCTAGCGTCTCTATTTAGAACAACATAAAGTAAGCAAAAATGCCCAGTCATCTAGCTACGTAAGAGATCATTATTAAATATGTTTAAGTGATTGATAAGACTGAACTAGATCAATGATAATTCAATAATAAATATTTTGTTGCACCTTTAACCAATAGCCTAACAAATGAACAACTCTTACAAATAAAGTACAAAGACTTTTGATTGTCTTTATTAAGACATCCTCTATATCAAATTTCAGCCAGACCACCAGCCACCTGCACTCCCAACCCCCACCAGTCTAGTTAATAACTCAACTCTCTCCCTAACACAACTTCCTTCCCATGTTTTTTTTAAATGTCTCAAGTTATTTTTTTATGTCTCAAGGAAAGGTTTGGAAAACAAACGTTTTATAAAAACACACATACACCTACACATTAACACACAGAAACAGTACACCTTCCATATAATTTATATCATAGGCCTAATAGTACTGTAGAGCTCTTTATACTTGCATACAATATAGCTGGGTGACCCTGTCCTGTCCCTAGGGGTCCACGACCCTGCAGCACCCCAACCGAACACACCCCACTCAGCTTTAGGATCTTAGTGAAACATTCATTATTAGTTTCAGGTGTGTTAGGCCAGAGTGTCAACCAACAGTACGGCAGACCCCCAGGGCCAGGACTGAGCAGCCTAGCAGCTAGGGATTGCCTAAGTAGGTATCTCCCCTGACGTGGGCATGTTTTCAATATAGACTCCTTTTGTCGTACATAAGGCATCCAGACCTTATGAAAGCTGCACAGTATACCCTTTATCTTGTAATACATCATATACATCCAATCTAGTGATACATAACTTTACATTTCTTCCATCTACTGTGTGGGCGAGGGGATGGACGGAGTCAGGCGCAGGAGTGTGAAGAAGGAATATACTTTATTCAGCCCAATAAGGTAGTCCGCAGCAATGCGTAAACACGATCCCAGTGCGACTTAAATGTGTACTGGGAACCAAACATACACAGGTAAATATTCCCGGCAATAAAATTCCTAAATGCTCAACCGAGCTAGCGATACCTCCACTAAGTAACAATCACACACAAAGACAAGGGGGGCAGAGGGAACACGTATACAGGTACTGATGAGGGGATATGAACCAGGTGTGTGTAATAAACAAGACAAAACAAATGGAATGATGAGATGAGGAGCGGCAGTGGCTAGAAGGCCGGCGATGATGAACGCCGAAGCCTGCCCGAACAAGGAGAGGAGGCAGCTTCATAGGAAGTCGTACCTCTGGCACCCCGTAGTGCCGGAAGACGTGAGTAAACAGGGCTGTGGGGAGACCGGGCAGAGGAAGGAGGCGGCAGGCTTTAGAAAAGCGGTCCACATCAACCAGGATGGTAGTGTTACCCTGAGAGAGGGGAAGATCAGTGAGGAAGTCAATTGACAAGTGGGACCATGGCCGTTGTGGAACTGGTAAGGGATGTAACTTACCTGCTGGGAGGTGCCTAGGTAACTTACTCTGGGCGCACACCGAGCAGGAGGAGACATACACCCTCACGTCCTAAGCCAAGGTAGGCCACCAGTACGTCCCGATCAGGCAGCGCACTGTACGGCCGATACCTGGGTGACCAGAGGAGGGGGGCGTGTGTGCCCAATAGATAAGACGATCACGGACAAGAGACGGCACGTACAGCAGCCCAGCTGGGCACTGAGGTGGAGATGGCTCTGTGCGTAACGCCGCTCTATGTTCACGTCCACCGCCCACAATACAGGCGCCACAATGCAGGAGGCCGGGAGTATGGGGGTGTTGTCTATGGGCCTCTCCTCTGTGTCGTACAGCCGTGACAGTGCGTCTGCCTTGACGTTCTTAGTACCTGGTATGTATGACAACGTGAAATCAAAACGGGTGAAGAACAAGGCCCACCTGGCCTGGCGATGGTTCAGCCTCCTCGCTGCCCGGATGTACTCCAGGTTACAGTGGTCAGTCCAGACAAGGAAAGGGTGTTTCACCCCCTCAAGCCAGTGCCTCCACGCGGTCAGGGCTCTGACAACAGCCAACAGCTCCCAATCACCAACGTCGTAGTTCTGCTCCCCCAGGCTGAGCTTCTTAGAGAAGAAGGCACAGGGGCGGAGCTTGGGTGGCGTGCCCGAGCGTTGAGATAGGACAGCCTATCCCTACCTCGGACGCATTCACCTCCACTATGAATGGTAATGATGGATCGGGATGGGCCAGTACCGGGGCTGAGGTGAACAGAGCCCTCAGGTTACTGAAAGCCCTGTCAGTCTCAGCAGACCAGCGGAGCCGGGACGGCCCACCCTTCAACAGAAAGGTGATGGGAGCTGAGACCTTGCCAAAGCCCCAGATAAACCTCCGATAGTAATTGGCAAAGCCAATAAAGCGCTGCACCTCCTTCACCGTGGTTGGAGTCGGCCAATTACGCACGGCTGAAATGCGGTCTCCCTCCATCTCCACACCTGAGGTGGTAATGCAGTATCCATGAAAGGAGATGGACTGCTGGAAGAACAGACACTTTTCTGCCTTGGCATAAAGGTCATGTTCCAACAGTCGGCCCAGAACTCTGCGAACCAGAGACACATGCTCGGCGCGCGTAGCGGAATACACCAGAATGTCATCGATGTAGACCACCACACCGCGACCAAGCATGTCCCAAAACACCTCGTTCACAAAGGACTGGAAGACTGATGGAGCATTCATCGAACCGTACAGCATCACCAGGTATTTGTAATGCCCAGTGGTTATGCTGTCTTCCACTCGTCCTCTTCCCGGACACGCACCAGGTTGTACGCACTCCGGAGATCTAATTTTGTGAAAAAGCACGCCCCATGCATTGATTCAATAACAGAGAAGATGAGGGGTAGAGGGTAACTATAGCGAATGGTAATCAATGCAAGGGCGCAGACCTCTGTCTTTCTTCTTCACAAAAAAGAAACTTGAGGAGGCGGGCAAAGTGGAGGGACGTATGAACCCCTGGCGCAGGGACTCGGAGACGTATGTCTCCATAGCCTCCGTCTTAGCCTGCGACAGGGGATAGACATGACTCCTGGGAGGCACAGCGTCTAACCGGAGGTTTATCGCGCAATCCCCCACCCGATGAGGTGGTAATTTGGTCGCCTGCGTTTTGGAAAACGCGTGCGCCAAGTCGAGGTATTCGGGGGGAATGCGCATGGTGGAGGTAGTGTCTGAACTTTCCACCGTGGTTGCACCAACGGAAACAGCTAGACACATACCCTGACACTCTCGCGACCACCCCGTGAGAACCCTCTGCGGCCATGAAAAGGTGGGGTCGTGTAGTGCAAGCCAGGGAAGACCCAACACAACAGGGAAATCAGGGGACTCAATAATGTAAAAGGTGTTTTGCTCCCTGTGGGTCTCCTGCATAATCACGGTGCTGTAACCTCCCTAACAAAACCTGACCCTAATGGTCGACTGTCAAGTGCTATGATGGGAAATGGAATGGGTAGGGGAACCAATGTGATACATAACCTATTAGCTAAAGACCTGTCCATAAAGTTCCCAGCTGCGCCTGAATCGACCTGCGCCTTACACTGGGGAATTACCGTGTGCTCAGGGAAGTTGACGTGTATGGTGAAGTGCGCAGCAGAGGCCTCTGAACGAGTGTGGATTTGCGCTACCTGGGGTGACGCGAGAGTGCCCTGCCTGCCGCCTCCAGACCCAGAAGAACTCTGACAACAGCGTACAGTAGAATGTCCTCTCCTGCTACAAGAGTGACACTGGATCTGTCGTCCTCCATTCTCCTGGATCGCTGCACCACCCAGCTCCATCGGAACGTAATCTGGGTTGCAGGGGGGTGAAACGGGCAGGCCCCTTCCAGGACGTCCTCTGGAAGCCAGCAAGTTGTCCAACCAGATGGCCATGTCCACCAGCTGGTTGAAAGTCAACGTGGTATCCCGGCAGGCTAGCTCCCGTCAGACGTCCTCCCACAGGCTGCTCTGGAAGTGGTCGATGAGGGCCCGCTCGTTCCACCCGGACCCCGCCACTAGAGTTCTATACTCCAGGGCAAAGTCTTGCGCGGTCCTCGTCCCCTGCCTCAGATGGACCAGGCGCTCGCCAGCCTCTCTTCCTTTGGGGGGATGATCAAACAGCGCCCGGAAGAGGCGAGCGAACGCCCCGTAGTTGTCTAACGCGTCTCCTCCTTCACTCCAGACCACGTTGGCCCACTCCAGGGCTTTCCCCGAGAGGCAGGAGACGAGGGCGGACACCTCCTCCCACTCCAAGGGAGCCGAGCTGATGTTGGAAAAATAGAGGTCCAGCTGCAGGAGGAATCCCTGGCAGCAGGCCGCTGTCCCGTCGTACTCCCTCGGTCGGGATAGGTGAATCCCTCTGGGTGCTGGGGTGTGGGTGGCTGGATCCGGTCGCTCAGCTGGTCCCGAAGGGTCGGGTCCTCTCCTCTCCAGGTGTTGGACGACCTGGAGAACCCGATCCATCGCTTCGCCCAAGCTGGCTAGCATGTTGGAATGCTCCCGGACCTGCTCCATGACTCCAGGCATATTCCTGTTTCCTGCTGACTCCATGCTGTTGGGTGTGTGATTCTGTGGGCGAGGGGATGGACGGAGTCAGGCGCAGGAGTGTGAAGAAGGAATATGCTTTATTCAGCCCAATAAGGTAGTCCGCAGCAATACGTAAACACGATCTCAGTGCAACTTAAATGTGTACTGGGAACCAAACATACACGGGTAAATATTCCCGGTGATAAAATAACAAAATGCTCAACCGAGCTAGCAATATCTCCACTAAGTAACAATCACACACAAAGACATGGGGGGCAGAGGGAATACTTATACAGGTACTGATGAGGGGATATGAACCAGGTGTGTGTAATAAACAAGACAAAACAAATGGAATGATGAGATGAGGAGCGGCAGTAGCTAGAAGGCCGGTGACGAAGAACGCCGAAGCCTGCCCGAACAAGGAGAGGAGGCAGCTTCGGAGGAAGTCGTGACACACTGTGGGAGGATAACCAACCTTCCAATTAATGTCAATGCATTTCTTAGCCGCTATAAATGCTAGGTTACACAGTTTCTTCTGATAATAGTCTCCAGTATCAACATTTACAAGCAAACAAAAACAGGGAGAAGGGAGAATCTGCAGAAATGCTGACATAAAATAACATACTCTTTGCCAGAATTCAGCCAGCCTTCACAAGACCATAACATACAGTGTAAGGGAAAATATTCAGACCCCTTCCCTTTTACCACATTTTGTTACGTTACAGTCTTATTCTAAAATTGATTAAATAAATAAAAATCCTCATCAATCTAGACACAATACCCCATAATGACAACACGAAAACAGGTTTTTTAAACTGTGGCCTCCATCATTCTTAAATGGAAGAAGTTTGGAACCACCAAGACTCTTCCTAGAGCTGGCCGCCCGGCCAAAATGAGCAATCGGGGGAGAAGGGCCTTGGTCAGGGAGGTGACCAAGAACCTGATGGTCACTCTGACAGAGCTCCAGAGTTCCTCTGTGGAGATGGGAGAACCTTCCAGAAGGAGAACCATCTCCGCAGCGCTCTACCAATCAGGCCTTTATGGTGGAGTGGCCAGACGGAAGCCACTCCTCAGTAAAAGGCACATGACAGCCCGCTTGGAGTTTGCCAAAAGGCACCTAAAGGACTCTCAGAACATGAGAAACAAGATAATCTGGTCTGATGAAACCAAGATTGAATTCTTTGGCCTGAATGCCAAGCATCACGTCTGGAGGAAACCTGGCACCATCCCTATGGTGAAGCATGGTGGTGGCAGCATCATGCTGTGGCTATGTTTTTCAGCGGCAGGGACTGGGAGACTAGTCAGGAGAGTCCTTGATGAAAACCTGCTTCAGAGTGCTCAGGACCTCAGACTGGGGCGAAGGTTCACCTTCCAACAGGACAACGACCCTAAGAACACATCCAAGACAACGCAGGAGTGGCTTCGGAACAAGTCTCTGAATGTCCTTGAGTGGCCCAGCCAAAGCCCAGACTTGAATCCGATCTAACATCTCTGGAGAGACCTGAAAATACCTGTGCAGCGACACTCCCCATCCAACCTGAGAGAGCTTGAGAGGATCTGCAGAGAAGAATTGGAGAAACTCCCCAAATACAGGTGTGCCAAGCTTGTAGCGTCATACCCAAGAAGAATCTAGGCTGTAATCGCTGCCAAAGGTGCTTCAACAAAAAACGTGTTTTTGCTTTGTCATTATGGGGTATTGTGTGTAGATTGATGAGGGGGGGAAAACAATTTAATCAATTTTAGAATAAGGTTGTAACGTAACAAAATGTGGAAAATGTCAAGGGGTCTGAATACTTTCTGAATGCAATGTATGCAAATATGTCCCCTTTTGTGTTTTACTCCTCCAGCAGAACAGTTACATTTGTGTGCATGATATTCAGTTTCACTGGCATATAGTACGTCTTAAACTGCAGTAATTTATGTCTGGGATTATATGAACATGACTGGGCATTCTAACATATCTGTATCCATTCATTATCATCAATAGCGTCTCCCAGGTCTTCCTCATATTTTTGTGAGGAAGACTGTGCACCATGACAGTGAAGCCTGTAGAGCTGTTTACACCGTGTTTGTGTGAAAAGCCGGGAATTAGCTGTGGGGAAACTGACAGAACAATAACGTTACTTGCTATACTGACTTATAAAAACTCACATTGCGCTGAAAAAACTTCAGTCATTTGGCCTCTGGTTTCATCACTTTATTCAGGTCTAGTATGATTGAGGCAAATATAATAGCTAAAGTTAGTGCGATAGCTAGCTAGCTAGCTAACGTTAGCTAACTTTTGACTAGCTCTGCTAACTAATGGTACAATGATACATCATCAAATTTACTTCTGTTGAAACAAAACAAAGGCTACAAAACATTTCCATACACACAAAAGCTGTTAGATACTGCTACCTGACAGATAGCTAGAGGCTAGCTAGAGCTGAACTGCCTGTGGTAGCTACTAGCTAGCTAACTAGCTGCTAGTAGTTCATTCACTTCAGTCCTTGTTGAACACGTCTCTGATCAGATCAGAGAGAATGGTTATGTAGGGTAAATATGCTTGTTATCTAGCTAGTTAGTTTTGCTGTCAATACAAACTCATTTTTACTTGATTTCAGTTTGTTCTGCTGCTGACATCTGCCTATTACTAACAAGCAGTCGAAAACAATTATTTGTCCCTAACAGTGGGAGACACACATGACAGATCCAACTCAAAAGTAGCCTCCTTCCTGTATTCATGTCTCCCTGTCTGGCAAATCAGACGAGTACGCTCTTGGCGGGGGAGGGGGTATTTTCTTTGATTCAAGAGCTTATGAAATTAGCTACTGTAGTTTGATGTGCAATTCGTTACATACAACACAAATTAAAAGACTCAAAATAAAATGTAAAAGTAATTCTTAAAATAAAACAAATCCACTGAGCTGCGAGGTGCAAAAGGGCACTGTTTGAGCCCTATCTGTGGATGTGCCTGTATGTGTATCCACGTACTATCAACCTTGCTAAACCACTGTGTGTGCGTGTGTGTGTTCGTTTGTGTGTGTGTGTTGTCCCAGTGTGGTAGTTGGTAGCCCTTCTAACATGACTCTGGGAGGAGGATTCAATATGGCTTCTCTCAATGGCTGTTGCGCCATCCTGTCCTCCCCACTCTTCAAATGCAGCCTGGTCTACCCCTGAGAGGCAGGAGGAGGACAGAAAATAATGGAGAGAAGACGATGGACAGAAAAGGCTTGAGAGAAAAGGATGGAAAGAGGAGCATGGAGTGTGGAAGCACCCTGACCTCTTTCTTGTCACAAGTCAAGTATGAAACTGTATGCATGTGTCATGAGCACTCTCTCTCCCTGGTAGCAACATTAATTGCATTCAATTCTCTGCCACTCTGCTCACTCTCTCCCTACTCTGCCTAACGAGCTCCACCTGGCTCCGCCCTGCTCTGCTCTTGTTACCTGGCCAGCTGCACTGCATTTCCCACTCACCATCCTCACCTTGCCTCACTCTGTTCTAATTACTCTGCCAGCTGAACTGCATTTCCCCACTAACCTCTCCCAGTATATCAAGCCCTGTTTTTCAGCCAAGCCCTGTCAGATCGTCTTCAAACCCGGACCAGTAACCTGCCTGTCTGCGCTCTGACTCCTGTTTGTGATACCGATCCTTTCTTGACTGCCTCCTTGTTCTACTGCCCCGTCTATCCCGACCTGCCTTCTGGACCTCGACTACTCTCCGATCTTCAGCCCCTCCGGTAACTCGATTCTGCTTTCTGTCTCTCACCACGATATTTGCCCAGCCCTGATCTGTACTTCTGCCTGCCATTCATATTGCTGTTGTGTGTGTGTTCCCCCAGGTCTCCGACCACCAGATGAGCGTGCCCAGACGCTTCACCACCCTCAGCCCGATACGCCGCTCCATCACTGGGGAACACACACACTAAGCACTTGGACTGGACACCCCCGGACATTTGGTGACCCCCGGAGCACAGGTACCCACAGGACCCTGAAAAACCCCAGAGCCCCAAGCACCCCTGGAACCCCTGACACCCCTGGCACTCCTCTTCCCGCCTGAAACCTTCAATAAAGAACTCTGAATTTGAACTTGCGCTCTTGGGTCCTCTTCTGTCCGTGACAGAACGATCTGACCATCATGGACCCAGCGCACTCCCTGACCACGATGGAAGAAGAGCCAGAGATGACTGCCCTACAGCGACTGGAACGCTCTGAGGGAGACATAAATCGGATGGCTGGCGACATCGCTTCCCTTCTCCAGCTATTCAACCAGCAGCAACAACAGTTCCAACTGCAGCAACAACAGCTAGCCCAAGCCCTGCAACTACTCTCAAACCCGGCTACTCCACCTGCACCCCCCCCTGGTCCTTCTGTTCCTGTACCACCGACACTCCTTCATCCCTCCGCTGGAGGTCCCAATGCTGCAGGCCCGGCAGTGCTGCCACCAGATCCCCACGCTCCTGAACCAAAGATTGGGAACCCGGAACGTTTTGATGGCAACCAGAAGCAAGTAAGACCATTCTTGAGCAGCTGCCGAATCCAGTTTGCACTACAGCCCAGGACTTTCTCAACAGAGGGAGCCAAGGTGGGGTATGTCATCACACATCTCACCGGTCGGGCTCGGTTGTGGGGAACGGCGGAATTCGACCGGCAAACCCCAGCCTGTGCCTCCTTCAGTGCCTTTGAGGAGGAGATGTTAAAGGTCTTTGACCTAGGCTCGCCAACAGCCGAAGCGTCACAAGCTCTGCTCACCATCCGTCAGGGCAGTCGGACAGTGGCAGACTTCTCCATTGACTTTCGTACCCTGGCCAGTCAAAGCTCGTTTAACCCAGAGGCACTGGTGCAAGCCTTCCTCCATAGCCTGGCGGACTATATCAAAGACGAGCTTGTTTCCCATGACCCGCCCTCAACGCTTGATGCCGCCATTGACCTTGCCGTCCGCATTGACCGCCGTATACAGACCCGGAGGAGGGAGAAGGGCCGTCTCAGTCAACCTGCCATCCGCACTCGGGTCGATACCGCTTCTGTCCAGCCCCTGCCTGTCAAGTCCCATAGCCAACTCAATCAGCCTGAGCCCATGGAGATTGGCCGTGCCTCTCTGACTCCCGAGGAGCGTCGGCGCCGTCTAAGCTCCAACCTTTGCCTCTACTGTGGTGGCGAAAATCACCGTGTCGCCACTTGTCCGGCAAAAGCCGCAGCTCACCAGGTGTAGGGGAGATCCGGGTGAGCTCAACAAGCCTTCAGTCTCCCTCCATCCGAAAGACCCTGCTTCATCTCCGCCTTCAGCTTTCTGACAAGACTCATACATTGGCCGCCCTTGTGGATTCCGGAGCCGAAGCAAACATCATGGACCCTGAGCTTGCACAGCAACTGGGCGTGAACCATCATCAACTGACACAACCCATTCCTGCACGAGCCCTGGATGGGCATCATCTTGGCACTGTCACTCATATCTCCGCCCCTGTGACAATCCTGCTGTCAGGAAACCACCAGGAGTCCATCCAGTTTCACCTCCTACACTCACCTGGCCAACCACTCATTCTTGGATACCCGTGGCTCCGTCAGCACAACCCCCACATCGACTGGGAGACAGGAACAGTCCGTGAGTGGGGAAGGAGTTGTCACCAGACCTGTTTAAGGGGGGCCACCCTGCCCGTTCACCGGGAAAGATCTAGCGCTACCCCCGACATATCCAATGTTCCGGCCTGTTACCACAGCCTGAAAGAGGTGTTCAACAAATCCAAGGCGACATCTCTACCCCCACACAGACCCTATGACTGCGCGATTGATCTCCTGCCTGGCACAGCACCTCCCAAGGGTCGTCTGTATTCACTGTCAGCCCCGGAAAGAAAGGCCATGGAGGACTACATTAATGACTCTCTTGCCGCCGGGTTAATTAGACCGTCATCTTCCCCCGCAGGAGCGGGATTCTTCTTTGTCGGCAAGAAGGACGGTTCTCTTCGTCCATGCATAGATTACCGGGGTCTGAACGACATCACGGTTAAGAATCGCTACCCACTGCCCTTACTTTCGTCTGCCTTCGAACTGCTGCAGGGAGCCACTGTATTCACAAAGCTGGACCTTCGCAATGCCTACCATCTGGTGCGGATGAGGGAGGGAGACGAATGGAAGACAGCGTTCAACACACCAACCGGCCACTATGAATATCTCGTCATGCCCTTCGGCCTCACCAATGCCCCAGCAGTTTTTCAAGCCCTAGTGAATGATATCCTCAGGGACATGCTAAATACGTTCGTATTTGTGTACCTTGACGATATTTTAATATTCTCAAAGACTCTGTCAGAACACACGCACCACGTCCAGTTGGTCCTGCGCCGCCTGCTGGAGAACTCTCTTTTCGTGAAGGCAGAGAAGTGCGAGTTCCATGCCAAAACCGTTTCATTCCTGGGGTATGTGGTGACCGAGGGCAGCATTCAGATGGATCTCACGAAGGTGTCGGCTGTCACTTCCTGGCCAGTTCCTGAGTCTCGGAAAAAGTTGCAACAGTTCCTGGGCTTTGCCAACTTTTATAGGAGATTCATCAGAAACTATAGCACAGTGGCTGCACCCCTCACGGCGCTAACCAGCACTAAACAACCGTACCAATGGACATCAGCTGCTGATAAGGCCTTCAATATCCTCAAGACATGTTTCACTTCTGCTCCCATCCTCCAGATGCCAGATGCAGCAAGGCAGTTTGTGGTGGAGGTAGATGCTTCGGACGTGGGAGTGGGTGCAGTGCTTTCTCAAAGAGCAGCTGAGGATGGCAAGATGCACCCCTGTGCCTTCTACTCCCGTCGGCTAACCCCTGCCGAATGCAACTACGACATTGGGAACCGCGAGCTGTTGGCTGTCAAGCTCGCCCTTGAAGAATGGCGGCACTGGTTAGAGGGGTCAAAGGAACCATTCGTAGTGTGGACAGACCACAAGAACCTGGAGTATATCCAAACAGCCAGGAGGCTGAACTCCCGTCAACAGCGGTGGTCTCTGTTCTTTACGCGCTTCAATTTCACGCTCTCCTACCGCCCGGGATCTCGCAACATCAAACCTGATGCTCTTTCCCGGATGTTTCAGAAGGACGAGACCACCGCCATGACAGCCCCCATTCTTCCCAGCCACTTGGTCGTAGCGGCCCTCACCTGGGAGATCGAGAAGCAGGTCATGGAGGCTCTTCGGGACCAGCCAGGTCCAAGCACCAGCGCCCCCAACCGTCTGTTTGTTCCAGCAAATCTCAGGTCACCTGTGATTCAGTGGGGGCACGAATCCCGTCTGGCCTGTCATCCCGGCATCACTCGCACCCTTCATCTGGTCCGCCAGCGGTTCTGGTGGCGGCGGATGAGACGGGATGTCCGAGAATTCATCCGAGCTTGTCCCACTTGTAACCGAAACAAGACCCCCAACCAGCCTCCTGCTGGGTTGCTGCAACCCCTACTCATACCCAAGAGGCCCTGGTCCCACGTTTCACTGGACTTTGTTACGGGCCTTCCGCCCTCTGACGGACACACAGTCATCCTTACCATTGTTGACCGCTTTAGTAAGATGACCCACTTCGTGCCCCTTCCCAAACTACCCTCTGCTAAAGAGACCTCCCAGGTGGTCCTGGAACATGTGTTTCGTATCCATGGCCTACCCCAGGATATAGTGTCAGACCGGGGCCCGCAATTCTCAGCAACCTTTTGGAAGGAGTTCTGTCATCTCCTTGGGGCCACCGCCAGCCTATCGTCTGGATTCCACCCGCAGTCAAACGGCCAGACTGAACGCATGAACCAGGAGCTGGAGAAGGCACTGAGGTGTGTGGCTTCCCAAAATCCCCGGGCCTGGGCTCAACACCTGCTCTGGGTGGAATATGCCCATAATTCACTCACCAGTTCCTCCACCGGGCTCTCCCCCTTTCAGTGTGTCTACGGGTATCAACCTCCACTGTTTGCCAGCCAGGAGGCGGATGCCACCTGTCCGTCTGCTCTTGCGTATGCCCGCCGCTGCCGCCGCACTTGGGCCCAGGCTCGCACTGTGCTCCTGAAGTCTGGAACCAGCTACGCCGTCGGTGCCAACCGACGGAGGACCCCAGCACCTACTTACCGGGTTGGTCAGAAGGTCTGGCTGTCTGCCCGGGATCTGCCGCTGCGGGTTGAATCACGAAAGCTGGCCCCTCGCTTCATTGGTCCTTTTCCTGTGCAGAAAGTCATCAGTCCAACGGCGGTCCGACTTCAGTTGCCCGCTTCCATGCGGGTCCACCCCACCTTCCACGTCTCCAAGGTCAAGCCGGTCCATGAAAGTCCCCTGGTCCCTGCAGCTCCGGCGCCACCTCCTCCGCGCCTC